GTAACTAAAACTATAGATCAGGGTGGTGCAGTAGACATTGCTTACCTAGATTTCAGTAAGGCTTTTGACACTGTTGCACATAGAAGGCTTATCAATAAACTGCAATCTTTAAGTTTGGATTCCAATATTGTTGAATGGGTAAGGCAGTGGCTGAGTGACAGGCAACAGAGGGTTGTAGTTAATGGAATATATTCAAGCTTGGACTTGTCACCAGTGGGGTACCTCAGGGATCTGTACTTGGACCCATTCTCTTTAATATTTTTATTAGTGATATTGCAGAAGGTCTTGATGGTAAGGTATGTCTTTTTGCTGATGATACTAAGATATGTAACAGGGTTGATGTTCCAGGAGGGATAAGCCAAATGGCAAATGATTTAGGTAAACTAGAAAAATGGTCAGAATTGTGGCAACTGACATTTAATGTGGATAAGTGCAAGATAATGCATCTTGGACGTAAAAACCCAAGGGCAGAGTACAGAATATTTGATAGAGTCCTAACCTCAACATATGAGGAAAGGGATTTAGGGGTGATTATTTCTGATGACTTAAAGGTAGGCAGACAATGTAATAGAGCAGCAGGAAATGCTAGCAGAATGCTTGGTTGTATAGGGAGAGGTATTAGCAGTAGAAAGAGGGAAGTGCTCATGCCATTATACAGAACACTGGTGAGACCTCACTTGGAGTATTGTACACAGTACTGGAGACCGTATCTTCAGAAGGATATTGATACCTTAGAGAGGGTTCAGAGAAGGGCTACTAAACTGGTTCATGGATTGCGGGATAAAACTTACCAGGAAAGGTTAAAGGATCTTAACATGTATAGCTTGGAGGAAAGACGAGACAGGGGGGATATGATAGAAACATTTAAATATATAAAGGGAATCAACACAGTAAAGGAGGAGACTATATTTAAAAGAAGAAAAACTACCACAACAAGAGGACATAGTCTTAAATTAGAGGGACAAAGGTTTAAAAATAATATCAGGAAGTATTACTTTACTGAGAGGGTAGTGGATGCATGGAATAGCTTTCCAGCTGAAGTGGTAGAGGTTAACACAGTAAAGGAGTTTAAGCATGCATGGGATAGGCATAAGGCTATCCTAACTATAAGATAAGGCTAGGGACTAATGAAAGTTTTTATAAAATTGGGCAGACTAGATGGGCCGAATGGTTCTTATCTGCCGTCACATTCTATGTTTCTATGTTTCTATCTTCTTTTAAAATATATATACACATATGAAGGGTTATGAAGGGATTCCTGACAGATATCAATGTTAAAATGCAACTTGTGTTAAAGGGACACTATAGTCACCTGAACAACTTTAGCTTAATGAAGCAGTTTTGGTGTATAGAACATGCCCCTGAAGCCTCACTGCTCAATCCTCTGCCATTTAGGAGTTAAATCCCTTTGTTTATGAACCCTAGTCACACCTCCCTGCATGTGACTTGCACAGCCTTCCATAAACACTTCCTGTAAAGAGAGGCCTATTTAGGCTTTCTTTATTGCAATTTCTGTTTAATTAAGATTTTCTTATCCCCTGCTATGTTAATAGCTTGCTAGACTCTGCAAGAGCCTCCTGTATGTGATTAAAGTTCACTTTAGAGATTGAGATACAATTATTTAAGGTAAATTACATCTGTTTGAAAGTGAAACCAGTTTTTTTTTTCATGCAGGCTCTGTCAATCATAGCCAGGGGAGGTGTGGCTAGCGCTGCATAAACTGAAACAAAGTGATTTAACTCCTAAATGACAGTGAATTGAGCAGTGAAATTGCAGGGGAATGATCTATACACTAAAACTGCGTTATTTAGCTAAAGTAATTTAGGTGACTATAGTATTCCTTTAATTTAGAAAAATAATGGTTTGTAAATAGCAAAGTGCTACTTGTACTTATTGCCCTATAACTTTCCAAAAAAGCTAATAACATTGGGTATTTCTAAACTCAGGACAAAATTTACGAACTATTTATCATGGGTGTTTCTTGGCGGTTGTAGATGTGTAACAGATTTTGGGGATCAAAGTTAGAAAAAATAGTTTTTTGTTAATTTTTTCATCATAATTTATAAAAATGTTTCTAGTAAATTATATGATATGATGAAAATAATGGTATCTTTAGAAAGATCATTTAATGGCGAGAAAAACGGTATATAATATGTGTGGGTACAGTAAATGAGTAAGAGGAAAATTACAGCTAAACACTGCAGAAATTTAAAAAGAGCCCTGGGTCCTTAACGGTAAGAAAATTGAAACCCAGTCTGGTCACTAAGGGGTAAATATAAAAAAAATAAAAAAATAAGTAATACAGTATATAATAAGATAAAATGGTAAAAAAAAGTTATTAATAATACACTTAAAGCGTTTCTCCTTGCATAGGCTTTATCAAGTATCAAAACACTTGATAAAGCCTATCCAAGGAGAAACACGTTAGGTGTATTGTTTACAACTTGTTTGTCACTATTTTATCTTATTATACACTGTATTACTTATTTTTTAATATTAAAGTACTTTTTTAATTGGACCTAACTTTGCTGCTGTTGTATTGTTTGGAGCTATATCCCTGGTGGGCATCATACCACCCAAGCGCTTTGGATTGAGCAAACCGGAATTTGCTCTTTAGCATGTGAGTAGGTTTAACTTATTTCTTTTTACACTACTTTTTACGGTGTACACTATTGTGGTTCTGTTTGTTTATCTCCACATATACACGGACGGAAGAATTTATATTTACTCTTGTAACCTTGAGTGGAGATCATAACACTTCAAACGCTATCAGAGGAGCCAGGTTTTACGGTTCCATTACACGTGAGTGTACATTTTATAGTTTTTACCTACCCTTGCTCCATAGCTCTACATACTTTACCATATACGATTTTTATTTGTTTATTTTTTATGAGGATACCACCTACTACACCTATAATTTGAATCATTACCTGTGCGCTTGATCCATAGGCGGGGATTATTCCACCCAGGCGCATACACTGGAGCTGTATTGAAGCTCCAGGAAAGTGTGAGTGCACATCTTTTATCTTACCTATCACTACAGTTTTAAAATACTACACTTTAATTTCTTCTCTGGTTTTCTCCACAATTCTGAAGCGCTGCACCTATCTTCCAGTTTTTATCCTTCTCTTAACTATACTCTCCTCCTATATGGTGTTGATTCCCTTCATGTATTTAAATGTTTCTATCATATTCCCCCTGTGTTGTCTTACCTTCAAGCTATACATGTTAAGATCCTTTAACCTTCCCTTGTAAGTTTTATCCTGCAATCCATGAACCAGTTTAGTAGCCCTTCACTGAACTCTCTCTAAAGTATCAATATCCTTCTGGAGATACGGTCTCCAGTACTGCATACAATACTCCAAGTGAGGTCTCACCAGTGTTCTGTACAATGGCATGAGCACTTCTCTCTTTCTACTGCTAATACCTCTCCCTATACAACCAAGCATTCTGCTAGCATTTCCTGCTGCTCTATTACATTGTCTGCCTACCTTTAAGTCATCTAAAATAATTACCCCTAAATGCTTTTCCTCGGATAGAGTAAATTATTGAATTACTTTTCTTTAAAATAAATAAAATAGAAATCAGCAAATTCAGTGTCCTGTTAAAGGGTCACTAAACACAACCCTCTTTACGTATGGTGTCACAGTATCTTAACCTTGGAATAATAAAAAGTTGATGCCACAAGACTGTTCATTTTCTTTCAGACAGCAGAGAAGGAAGTTTCACATGCTAATCTGTTGCCTAAAATAGTCAAATTGTGCATGCGCTTGCACAAGTTATGGCGTCCCTGTGGTGACATTCTGTCATCAAACTAATATGGTGACCAGGGATCATGTGACCAAGCTCATGTATGCCTTTCTTACAGTGGGATAAGCCTTACCTTTTGATATGGTAATTGGGTAATTCAATAACTTTACAAGTCAGGAAAGAGGTAACCACTTCCCCCTATCTCCATTCCTCTCTGTTCCTTCTTGGCTGTGCTACTGAGCAGTCCCTTAAGCAGACATGGCCTAATTTCTATCATGGTGAACTGTGAGTGGGATTTTATAAGATGTGGTTGTTATTGTTAGTTAGGTTGTTGTTGCTATAGTTAGTTAGATTGTGTGTCATTATTTGTATGTTGTTGTTGTTTTGTCTCTGAATAAATATTTGTTAAAGTAGACGGACCAGAGTTTATATGTGTATGCGTACATAATAATTTATAGAGTTTGGTAATACACCACAGTCCCTACATCCCCTGAAGGCATGTTTGCACCCATGTGTGGTCAGCGACCTAGGAAAGTAATGTAGAATGTGAGCTCATTGAGCAGGGCCCTCCACCCCTCTGTTCCTGTACGTCCAGTTGTCTGGTTACAATTACATGTCTGTTAGTCCACCCATTGTACAGCGCCGCGGAATCTGATGGCGCTATATAAATAATAATGTGCGAAGTCCCCCATCACAAAACTGTTGCTGTGGTATGATTGTGATCAGTTTACTGTTCATTGTTAATCTGATGGGTGGTACTGTGGCTGGACTACATATCCAAATCTGGTTGTTGATAACAAGCCAGATTCCTACACTTCAATGTTCAGTGTTAATCTTTTCAACAGTGTCTGACTGAGCTGAATTGAATTTGCAATTCCTGAGCCAATTGTCACATTTGCAAGTTTTTGTTCATTTTGCAATCTGGTTGGTCATTCGTCAGGAACCGTCATAGATAATGATAGCAAATAGCCTTTTCTATACCCCAAAATGTCCAAACTAATGTATTCTACAGTGATATGTAGTTTAAAGTTTATTGAATGATTGCATCCTGAGTCCACTTTGCATTTATTATTAATAGAATTTATATAGTGCCAACATAATCTGTAACGCTTTATAATTTTAACGTGGACATGTAACAGACAACATATAAGAAACATTCTATTGCAAGTGTTAACTAGAAACAAGGTTATTCAGAACCCTGCTTGAAGAAACCTACAATCTGCAGGTGACTAGGTATATAAATTAAAGAGGAAGATCAACATGTGCGATAACCTACAAGTTGCGCAGGAAAGCTGGAAGGTAGGACTGTGGACCCACTAACAATATAGTAAATAGGGCAGATCGAGATGAACATTATCCAGGCAGGCTATAGGCTTGATAAAAGTTTTCTAAAGGACTTCTTAAAGGATTGAAGACTAGAGGAATGTCTGATGGGAAGTAGGCAAGCTGTTCCATGAGAAAAATCCTGATACAATTAGTAGTACAGGTGCGAACAGAAGACAGACGAAGGTCACTGGCAGAGAAAATATGGAACAAAAGGGAAGGAAATTGCTTATGTGATCGATGAGAAATTAGCAGGGTTATTCACAAAACAAAAAGTGACACAGGAATTTCAAATTTTGTGTAAAAAGAGCCTGTTGAAGATTCAAAATAGCTCTCAAACATTCTCAATTTGTCTATTTTGGTGTAATGCATTATAATAAAATAATAATAATAATAAAATAAAAAAAAGGTTACGGCTTAATTCCAAGTGTGCCTTGGAAATGAGATAAACATATGCAAGGCACACGTATTTTTCATGTTTCCCTTCATCAGCAGAATCCATAATTTTTAATGCTGACACCTATTAAAAAACACTTTAACAACAGCATTTAACCTATCGAAGCTTTAAAAGTCAGTTTGTTTTTTGCATGCTTTGTGTGCTATACCCACTGGTTAAAAACCACTAGCTTAGAAAATAAACCCCGTAAGTCGCCTTTTATATTTTCTCTGCTATCATTGCCCCAAAAAAAGGCATTGGTTTTCTAGGAGTCCTGAAGCTCCAGATCAGCACCTTTGTTTAGATTGTGTCAGAGATCAACATGGGTCATGTCACACATCACTTGTTAAATACACTATTCCCTTTTTCCAAATGTGAATTCACAACCTATTGGCTGCATTCTCCTTTAGGAGCTATCGAACTGCATGAAATGTCCACATTTTACCCATAACTACATAGGAATGGACACATTATCACAATCTTCTTTGATATTGTATAAAATATGATTTATTTATTAATCTTGTCTGTGCAGATTTGCATAAAACAAGCTAAAACCCAGCTGCCAACATTTGTCATGTAAATAACTCCAGAGTTGTGCTGGGGGCTTCTAAGTGGTATCCATTGAGAACTGCACAAAAAGTCAAACCATAGGATCCACATGAAATTGGCACTGTTCCCAGAGCATTAATATATTCTATATCGATGTCAAGGCACCCTTGCTTCATTTTCCCAGGAGCTGGTTAACAGGCTTGTGAATCCATCCTGAGCTTACGGTGGAAACTCTTTGATGTGTCCCATGTTTTATACAACTGGTAGATCAGTTACTGATCTTTTGCACCCACACAGTTCACAGTGCATGGCCTCTCTGTGTTTGCTCTATTCAGGCTCTGGCCTAGTCTGGCTCTGTAACACACTGTTCCACAATCTCTCGTAGACTTGGGTTCTCCATGGCCGCAGATACACGTTCTTTATCGTTGATCTGTTTATTAACTTTAAAAAAAAAAAAAAGTTACTTGCAATCTAGAGTGTGTCCCACATATATAAACCAGCATTATTTTATTGCCTGTGATAGATCTGTGTAGCTATAATTTAACAACCCTTCTCATATCCACCTGCCTTGTAGTTTTCCACCTCCCCTCCACCAAGCTGTTTCTTGTACCAACTACACTTTTAACAGTGTTAGCAGTGACTTACTGTCCTCTTCAGTTGAGTGGGTCCCTTCGGATATGTAGATCTCCAGCTGCAAAAACAAAAGGATATGAACCTCACGTTCTGCAGGACAATAAGGCAAATAGATGCCAAGATAATTTGGCAGGTATAGGTGTGGATCATTGTACTGCGCTATTTGTTTGCAAGGGAGCTATGACACACACTTTTTCCATGGGAATCCTGAGTAAACACTGGTTAGAACTTGACCAGAGTGTCTGACAGAGTGTGGAATGTGAGGGATATGCCAAACCTCTCTGCAGTCTGGGCTATGGAGCCAAACAGTGGGTGTGTGAAACCAGGATTTGTCATTAATTCCTCTGCAAAGTGGTGAACCCATCAGCAGTTAGCAGGTTAAATAATACCTCTGTGGGAAGGCTTGATAGAGTTCCACAAAGACCCTTGAATTTCCATCACAGTGTTACTGTGCAGTCACTATGCCACCTAGTGGAGACTGTGTGTAGGGAGCCAGCTGTAGAGGCTCTTGACCGCAAGTTCTAAAAATCTGTAAAGTGTATATACCAGTATTGGTTTTGTTTCACTCTTGCTTTTTAATATCAGAACTCTGGCCTAGTTCTTGTGTACTCTTATTTTACTTATTAAATTTACAAGCAGCAAATATGTGAGCAATATTTCGACCGACAGAGTTCAGGCTTGACAAAAGCCGCTAAATGGTTTGGAGCGTTGTCAGCCTTGTTCCTGGTGCAGTAAAGAATCATAAGAAAGGAAGTGTTCTATTGTAGGGATATGGGGCTGCAGTTATCCCCTTACATTGAATATTTCACTACAATTATAAGTGCCCTAACACTATTCTATCCCAATGATTTTATTGCATTTTAGTTACAGAAAAGCCGAGAAACTTTCCCTAAGAGAATATCTGTACAAGGAATCCTGGGCCTCATTTAGCAGTGCAGAAAACTAGACCTTAAAGCTTTTGTTCACAGATTAACGCCAACAGATGGCGTACATGATACAAAATCAATGGCAAGGATTTGTTATGCAACAATGAACAGAATTATTATATGGAATGGTGCCTGGAATGACTGAAGTCAATTTATCAGTGAGTACCCTGGACATTAGACTTCAAGTTCACAAAGAGACAGACCTCACCTTGTGTTTGAATGACAGGCAGCGCTGCAGCTTGATCCGCAAACACAGACCTGCAGAGAACAGAGGACACTATATGAAGGGTGGCAAAAAAATAAAAAAATAAAACAAGAGTCAATAAAAACACTGTAATAGCTGTTGCCTTCTTACAGGTAATGCCCGAGCCACACAACAAAAACAATAATATTACAAACAAAATCCATTGCTTTTGCAAAAAACAAGTTTATACATTTCCAAAAACAAATCATCTAAAAACAAATATCTTTATAAACATGTGTTCATATTAATATTTCCATGTTAAAAAGCTGAAATTTACCTGATAATAACTTAGAAAAATTACATTTTAGTGGCTCTTAATTTCTTAGATCTGTTTAGCAGCCAGAACTAGAGATTGTATATTCCAAAAGAAGTCTTGTAACTGATAGAGTGGTAGTACAAGGACGTTTGTTTTCTACCAGTGGTGAAAGTACTTATGGTACTAGATTGCTACACTGCCTTATCCCTCGATAGAAGGAAATACTAGACAGACTCCCCTTGGAGATGGTAAATAATGCATTATGTAGATACAGAGAGCCAATAGGGGTGGGACACGCCCCCATCAGGTTGTTGACCATATTTTACTGCTCCATTAAGTATATAAATTTACAAGTGCAATCTGTGTATCGGACATAACTCCTCTCAACTGTTTATGAACCATAACATTTGTGACATTGATATTGGCATATCTCCACAGAAGCCAAATCATTTTTTCTTACAATATTCTTTTTATAGTAGTTCTTACCACTGAGCTTCCCTACACATATTCTATCTCTACAATAGCAGGGATTACAAAGGTTAAAAAGTCACCTTGCAGAATTAGTCTTTAACTCTGACCTGTCCCAAAAAATAACTCTTATGGGGCTATTCACTAAAAAAGTGAATTTAAAGTTTCAGGCCAAAGTAGCCAATCTGGAAGCAGTGCCCCCCCCTCCCCCCCCCTCCCCCTCAAATTTGGATATTTTGACCTAACATTTGAAATTCACTTTAGTAAATAGCCCTGTTATTATATTACTGTGGAGTTTTAATTTTGTATATAACATTTGTACTGTATATCATGTTATCATTGTGTGTAATGACAGTTGCTGTACAAGTTGTATATTATTATACTGTAAAGAGATTTCAATAAAAATAAAAACTAACTACTAGAATGGAAATATATCTATATATAAAAAAAGCCATACAGAAAATTGGCACTCAGCTTTGAAGACAAACGTGAGTGTCTTATTCTGCCGGTTGGAAATCACATTACAGAAGGAGTGGGCGATGCATGGAAAAGTATCTAGGCAGATGCAGAAGAGATAGTGAGATTTAGCAGACTGGAGACACTAATCTGGTTTTACAGACTTCTAAACAATGAAACACGGATGTAGGAGTTACCATAATTTCCAAGACAGCTCATGTTCAATATGGAAAAAAAAACACTCAACTAAAAGCATAAAAAAAGGGAAAAAGAAAAAGGTTGATGTCTGAGAATTCTAAAGTAACCAAGCTCTGTCTAAGCCATCTGTATATTAGAACGGTTTATATAAAAAGGTAAGTCATTGTAAAACCATCTGCATTAATACAGTGCAATATGATATGACAACTTTATGGCTAGAAACGCTTCCTCTCCATCCAGTACCTTTCAACTCCCACATTAAGCTGGTGGCATGGAAAATAAGGAGCCAGAAGAGAGATTATATTGAAAAGGGAAGTGCTGAAAATTGTGTAATGAAGGCATTCTTTCTGAAATGCCAAACATCTTGTATTTCCAGTAGTAGCAATGCCTGCCTCTCAGTGACTTTACAGTGGGGGGAAAGCAAACATCTGCTCATGAAATGCGTTTTAGGGAGCTGCCCGCTGGCTTTCATCAACACATGTAATGTTCCTGTGAATGGACTTGAGTTTCTTTAGATCTGAATATAAGTATTAATGTTTTTACAAAGCTCTGTTAGCCACTTTAATAATGGAACGTGTTCTTATGTAAACAATTACTTTTCTAGTCACAGAGTCCATACCTTTCATAATCGGCCAATGGCCTCTAAATCAGGTCCTCTATAAGAGTTTTTGCAATAAATTAAAGTCACCAAAACAACTTTAGCTTATTGAAGCAGTTTTGGTGTATAGGTCATGCACCTGCAGTCTCACTGCTCAATTCTCTGCCATTTAGGAGTTAAATCACTTTGTTTATACATCCCTAGTCACTTCTCCTTGCATGTCACTTGTGTAACCTAAACACTTCCCGAAAAATAATCTAACTCTTTTTAAGTTCCTTTATTGCACAGTCTGTTTAATCTAGAAGGTATTATCTCCTGCTCTGTTAATAGCCATTTATACCATACAGGAGCTACCTGCATGTGATTAAAGTTATTCCTTGTATCTTAAAGGGACACTCTAGGGCATGGGTAGGCAACCTTAAGCACACCAGATGTTGTGGACTACATCTCCCATAATGCTCTTACGGACACAATGCTCGCAAAACATCATGGGAGATTTAGTCAACAATGGTTGCTTACCCCTTGTTCTAGGCACTGTAACCATGTCATCTAAATTAAGTTGTTATGATATGAAGTCCCCCGACATCGTCCTTCCATTCAGTGTTGAGCCATTTTTAATAGATTAATGTTAATTTGAGAGTCCCCAGAAGCCCCATCAGCTCTTTGCTACTTGAACTAGTAAGGAAGCATTAGCCTGAGCAGCAATGGGTGGCTGTGATTGGCCGAGAGCATCAGCTGACTGCTTTCAGCCTATCACAGGTGCCTATTGCTGGTATGATTTGGTATGGGTAAGGAAGAGTGTAATAACCACTCCAGTAGGGGACGGGATCTGGGCGGCCAGAGACCGTCATTCAGTGGTAAACGTATGGCTTTTTAAAAAGAGCATATAGATGGGGGGGGGGAACTAGGTCGTTCTCCCACCTGTCAATCAATTCTCTGGAATAGACTGACAGGGAGAGCAGAAGAGACCTCCCACAAACATGTAACTCCCAAACTGGCATGGCTAGGGAGTATAGGTACGGAGTCACCAACGTCACTCCATTCCAGCACTGGCATATTGGCAATGAAGCCAGCATGGCTGCATCGCACAGGGGGTTTGCCTTGCTTAGGGAAGTATCAACAAGCAGGACAAATAAATGAAGATCACAGGAGGAGTGAGGGTGCCCTGTGTGTGTGTTACAGAAGTGTATCACCACCTTTGTAAAGCTAATGTGGTGCTGGCTCTGATGGATCCCTTTAAACTGCTTGAAAATGGTTTAAATCTGAATGGCAGGGCTACCAGGGGACTCCGGGCACCATAACCAATTTAATGAGGTGAAATGATTATAGTACCTGCAGTGTCTCTTTAATCATTATACTCCCCCTTGCCTTTTGTCCCCATTCAAAAAATATTTTTTTATTTTTATTTTTTATATCCAGACTACCATTTTGTTACCCTTTGTCCATGATGTCTGCAATTTGCCCTTCTGTGGGATTAATTGACTGATGGATTGTGGGTAAGTTAGCTTAACAACTGAAATGGAACTTTGCTAAAAGGAACACTTCAGATCCCTTTTATAAATTAACTTTGCTACACCCACTGGCTGTCAAGCGGAACACCAGTCTTTTTAATTTCTGGTTGTTTAGCGTAGTGGAGTGTACTGCCTACTAACTAAAAAACAAAGGTGAATTAAAACAAAAACAAGGGGATAGAGGTACAAAAAAAACAACAACAAAAAAACCCCCAAAAACCTGCAAATTGAAACGGCAGCTTTAGGTCACAAAACCACTTCAGAAACCTCATAATATTTACACACATAGAAGAAATACTGCGACAAACCCAAACCCTACCAAACAAATAGAAAACTGCCAACTGATTGTTTTTGTTAACTGAAGTTAAGAAAACGCACACAACCAATGCTGCAGAATATACCAATAAACAGGCACTAAAAGGCAAACATCAGTGCTTATCATCCTAATTTGTCAACTAACACTTTCATTACTGCCATTTATAAAGAGGCAGGTCCTGCTGCAATGTACGAGTCATCACAACATATGAATAATTGTGACAAATCAATGAAATAAGAGATAAGAGCCTGGCTCAAACAGGTTTACAATCTAAAGGCAATGAGCTAAAAAGGTAAATGTGCATTGTATTCAGACAAAAGAATGGTTGCCAGGTGAACGAATATTATAAAGTAAATCAACATTATGTTCCATATAAATAGGGAAAGATAGAATAAGATTAACTTGGTCCATGAGGACATACAACATGGGAGGGTTGTTATACGTTTATCACTAGAATAAACGATAATGAAATATTTAGTGGGTTAAGACACTCCCCCAACCTATCCAGGTGTGTATGCCCCCCCAAGAATGTGGAACATAGCGTTCACAGGGTGATGCATTTTACACACTCCCAAGTACTCATCTATAGCCCTATCCTGTGTCTACTATTCCAAAATACAAATATGTAATAGTAAAATATATCTCAAATGTAGGTTTTTATCTTGACCAGAGATTGGCGAATATATAGTAACATGTGCAAAAGACACTTATATGCTGCATTATTTTGAGGAGTGCATGGCAAACAATCAAACATTCTTGTACAGTTGTCCAAGAGCATGTAATGGAATTTCCATTGAACTTTCCAAACTAACCTTGGAATGTTTGTCAAACATTCACCAGACAAATGCAGCATACATTTGTGTATTTTTCCCGGATGTTACGAGCATTTGTCCATCTCAGGACTTTCGTCAGTAATATCGGTAAATGCTCTTTCTAAATCTAGCTATTCAGGTTTATGTATACAATGCAGTACACGTGTACATGAAAAGATCAATCAGGCAACAGTAGGCAGAAGAGATATTCACTCCAGATTATATGTATAAAACCGATTATACAACTATAATGCTTTAGAAGCACTTCCATGCAAAATGACATTACAAATTAAAGTAAGAAAATGTATCTTGTCCCACTACCATTGCTTTGAGGAGGATAAACAGATGTAAAGGACAGAGCTTATAACAATGATTGACAGGGAGTTAAAGGGACACTATAGGCACCCACACCACTTTAGCTCATTGAAGTGGTCTGGGTGCACTGTCCAAGTCCCCTTTACCCTGCAATTGTAATTATTGCAGTTATTGATAGACTGCAATAATTACCTTGCAGGGTTAACTCCACTTATAGTGGCAGTCTACCAGACAGCCACTAGAGGGACTTCTGGCTGGTTAGGCGACTTTTGGTCTGCATGAGTGTTCGCTAATACCCTATAGAAAAGTATTGAACAATGCTTTCCTATGGAGTAGTCCTAATTGCAAGCACATGTGTTGGCGGAGGAGGAGCCTGACCCAGTGCTGAATGAAAAGGATGTTTCAGCTCCAAGGACCACTATGATAATAAATATTTTTAATACAATAATCCTTTCATCACGTATTAAAAAGTAATCATTTTGTTAAAAAAAAAAAAAATATGAAAAGAACTCATCCCTACCTTTAGTATATGACGGGATCATTCAGCCATATACATACACCTTGGGTCAAACAGTGTTTGAAGACAGTGTCGCTATGGTCTTTCCTGCTACTATGCAGTGAGGGAAGCAGAGAAAACACCCTCCAACCAGGATGCCATCATATATTAAAGGAGTTATTTTTTTTTCAATACCTCATAAAAGGATTAATATATATTTAAAAAAAAAACATATTTGAGGTGACCGTTGTCCTTTAAGACTATTAAGGCTAACTGTCCAACTACTGCAATTTAAATAAAATCTTCGTGCTTGCCCAAAAGTCTGAACCAGTCACAGCATTCATTGTCTGGGACCAGAATTACTGATTAAAGTGAGAACTCACCCCTCTGTCAGTATCTACACTGGCTTTGGTTTCATTCAGGATTCACAATACTTGCTTACATTCCAATGCACTCCATAACTGGGGTATGCCCTCCCATGCCACATTCTACTCTCCCTGTCTCTAAAGTTCTATAGTTCAACATTTTCTTAATAATACACTTTTTTTTTTTTTTTAGAGAAGCCAATGAGCCCACTCCTTAACTCTTAATCCTGACAACTTTCCTCTGCCTTCTCCCATCTACTGAGCTCTCTCCTCCCAAACAACCCTTCCATTATTTCCAGACCATTTGATTCCCTTACTTCCCTCAGTGTACTTGCCTCTCATCCTTTTAGATTGTAAGCTTGTTTGGGGCGTGGCCATCCTCAACTATTGTTAATCAAACTTGTTTTGTTAGAATTGTTTGTTTCAGTTTACCTTTTGTAGAGAGCTGCACAATTTGGTGGCACTATATACATAATTGTAATTAAATAGACAGGATGCATAGCTGACTTAGGAACACAGAGGGAACTAATAGCGAATTTCAGATTTTAAGGTCAAAATAGCCAAACTTGAAAACACATTGTGACAATTCACACTTTAGTAAATAATTGTGTACATCTACCTGTGTCTTTTCCTGATAGACTCGGTTCTGCCTGTGCTTTTCCAAGTTGAGATCTCTGTCATTGACATTTTATCATTTCACATTAAGTATGGTTTCTAACGTTTCTTTAGCTTCTAAATTAATCATATTATGGTGTGAAGTGATAATGCTTCATCACTCATTATTCTGAAGTTTAAGATGTTTGAATATTTAGAAATCCAGCTTTTTGTCCAAATCCCAGGGCTGACATCAAAGTCAAGGTAATACAACCAAGTAACAGATGCAGGATCAAGGAAACTCCTGTACGTGTAATTAATTATTTACATCAATGGGAGTTAAAACTCAGCTATATTAATGTTTAATTTAAACAATTCAGGGAACTCAATCATGTCTACTGCTTTGTCTTTTTTCATGCTGTTTTTGTAATACAGCTAAACAGCTGTTCAATGTTAATAAAAAGATCCCAACCAGAGTATCAATAAACAGAACTCAAGGAATACCCTGCTAATTTCAAGTATCTGATAAAACACATGCCTATGTGCTGCCATTTTCAGGATCCTGGCAGATTGTCTCTGCCCTTGTTTGCCCACAGTCTGGGCCACCATGAAATTCTCATGCTTGCGCACTGATCAGTCAAGTTATATGGCGAGGAGAGAGCATTGCGAGAAAAAAGGCAAGGGTTAAGACTGGAGGTTAGTATAGTGGATAAATTATACTTGAAAAAGGAAGTGGAGCTTTTAAGATCCACTCTTTGTCAAGTGTAGTAAAAATACATATGACAAAGTGATCCCTACTTTCTCTTATGTATTTTGCAACAAGTAGATCAGACCGTAAGAAAAGAAGAACATGACATGACAGTCGCTATAAGGAGTTGAAACGAAGGAGCTTGAATTCTAAGACTCTTTGCACAAAAACGGTGTCGGTGGACATGACAACAAAGAACACACATCTGTTAGAAATGGAGGGCAAGGTTCAATTGTACTAAATGAATCCACAGCCAGTAACCCAATAAGCCAAATAGGAAACACCAGCACAACAGCTTGTTCTCTTCAGAAATGAACATCTGATGTTAATTGTGGAATTTCTGTTTTATTTGCACTGTTTGTTTGCCCTCACAGATAATGTGTCCAAATTAAAGAGGCCTAACTGTTGGACATTCCTGTTTACTGACACTCCAGTTCCATGTCTGAAATAAGACATTTCTTAAAATTCAGTTTGGTCTGGAAATTTGGCTTCAAATCAATTGTTGCATAAAAACCTGTTATTCAAATACACAAAGATTTTAAAAAAAATTCAACTGAAAGGGGGCTATTCAGTAAAGTTTGTCAGGAATTGAGAATTTTAGAACAAAATAGCTTAACATTAAACATAGCTGATTTTTTTTATTCAGTGTGGTCATTTTAAATAGTAACATAATATCACTATCTGACTTAAATAGATTCCAAGCATGTTCTCAGACAAATGTAGACATTGCCCTTTCCCAGAAACAGCAATATTTTACATTGTTCAAGTAAAGAAAGAGTGTCCCTTTATTCCCTAACCTTTAATCTATTAATTCTAACCCTAACAAAAAAATGTTAAAATAGAACAGGAGAGCCTAACTTTAAAATGATACTCTAAGCACCAGAATATGTTGTTTATGGTTTATGCAGCCCTAACCACACCTCCCCGGCTGTGACTTACACACAGCTTATATGAAAAAAAGAGTAATTTTCTTCCCAATAGATCTAACAGCATAGTGTGTCTACTTTAGAAGTTCTTATCTCTTGCTTTAATCTTACATAGAATGCTAAATCTTTAAGCTCACACAGGAGGCAGCCGCAGGCTCTCTGTCTCGAGTAATTAATAGAGCAGGAGAAAATAAATTCAACACAAAATGACAGCTTAAATGTAGTTCTTCACCATTGGCAGATTATGTCTACCTCCTTTGCCTGCCTAATATTCATGGGAGTCTAATAAACAAGACACAATGTTCTACAGGTTAATCATCACTGCCCAAGGACATGAATGATATTTAAAGGGAAACTCTTGGCACCAGAACCACCACAGCTTAATGTAGGGGTTTGGGGGCAAAGACAGTGTTCCTGCAGGCTTATCAGTCTAAACACTGCCTCATCTATTTGAGGGGGGAAAAAAGCTGTTTATTAGGTCCTGAAAGATTGCAAGACTGACATTCAGTGTCTACATCCCCTTAGAGAAGCCTTGACTTAATGAATTTCTAGCAGGAAATGCTGATTACTGCATATGCACACATGCAAGAAGAAATGGATTGATTGAGATCATCTGTATTTTTGTTGGGGCTTTTTCTGGGAGTGGGTGCACAGATATCAAAATCACCCTGTATCACTCCAACATTAGAAACACACACTCCTAACGTTAGAGATGTTCCTTTAATAGCTGGTATTTTTAGTAGAGGTACTTTATGAAAATAAATGGATATTAGGGTACTAGCTGGCAGTAAATGTTTGACAGATGCGGTCACACACAATGCACAGGGATACAAACACACTCCATACCGATCAGTGTGGCCAGGGAGCAATGTGGCACTGTGGGTGTGAACCTGATGATCACCAGAAAGCATTCATCATCAAGTTCCTGCACAGACACACAGGTCTCCGACACTACTTCCAAGTCCTCCAGTGTGTTAGGCTTTTCTGGGTCCCGGATATTCCGGATTATATCTGCAGAAAAACAAACAGAAAATTTTTTGAAAAATAAGCATGCCTTCTGTTTGTTTGGATACTAAACATGTAAAAATACAAGAATTCCCCCTTTCTTCAATTAACCCCTGACACTTGCAATCATGTGTGTATGTTAGGTGCTAAATTAAATATACTGCTTCTGTTTTAAAGAATATTGGTCTCTCTATTTTAGTGCACTTTATTAACCAAAATTATGTACATAAATTTTTTATATATATATATATATATATATATATATGAAATAACAAGAGTAAAATAGTAATGTTAACTTCTGTGCAGCTATAGAGAATAGTTGTATTTTGTTGATCCCCCGTTCTGTTAATGAAACAATCCATTTAAATGCAAAATAATGGTCCAGAGTCTATCGGTTCTGTTATGACAACATACCCAGTGCTGTCAATGTTACTGATCATATTGCAGCCAAATAAACCATTTTAATATAAATATCTGATTTAATTCAGTACAGACTTATTAACTAAATATATGGTGCTGCCAGTAGGATTGGCATGTAGTCATACATTGTTCATTATGGCATTGCTAAAAGGACAATATATCCCACAGGGGAAACCTGGATAAAAAATCCAGGACTAATAACATGTAAGTTTTATATCCATTGGCACAATGGTATAATTTACCTACACCTGACCTTTTTGGTTGAAAAGCATGTTTCAAACCAGCACAAACAAGACAAGTGAAGCTAAAGATCAACCTTGAAAAACTGAGTTACTAAGTTTGACGGATAACCCCATGTGTGAACAATAAGAAAATGTGTTAGTGTCGGGAGATAAAATGCAAGTTTATAGAATAAAATGTAACCTTTATTTCATTTAATATTAGAGGGATTTAAATAATTTTTTTGACAATGATGACAATTCACCTATATACGGTACATGTGACAAACTGATAATATAGCAATTAAATAAACTCTTGTACTACACCATTAGAGGTAAATATACCTAGGCATAGCCATAGCGCATTATGGCAGATAACTGCATAGCCAGGGATAGCCATGCCCCTACCATGACAGGTAACAGCATACCTAGGGATAGCCATGCCCTCCTATGACAGCTAATGGCATACCTAGGAATAGCCATACAACTGCATAGCTAGGGATAGCCATACACCATTATGGCAGCTAGCTGCATAGCCAGTGATAGTCATGCCCCACAATGACAGCTAACTGCATAGCCAGGGATAGCCATGCCCCACCATGACAGCTAACTGCATAGCCAAGGATAGCCATGCCCCACCATGACAGCTAACTGCATAGCCAGGGATAGTCATGCCCCACCATGACAGATCACTGCATACCTATGGATAGCAATACACCATTATGGCAGCTTACTGCATAGCCAGGGATAGCCATGCCCCACCATGACAGCTAACTGCATTCCCAGGGATAGCCATGCCCCACCATGACAGCTAACTGCATAGCCAGGGATAGCCATGCCCCACCATGACAGCTAACTGCATTGCCAGGGATAGCCATGCCCCACCATGACAGCTAACTGCATAGCCAGGGATAGCCATGCCCCACCATGACAGCTAACTGCATAGCCAGGGATAGCCATGCCCCACCATGACAGCTAACTGCATACCCAGGGATAGCCATGCCCCACCATGACAGCTAATTGCATACCCAGGGATAGCCATACTCCATTATGGCAGCTAACTGCATAGCCAGGGATAGCCATACTCCATTATGGCAGCTAGCTGCATAGCCAGGGATAGCCATACTCCATTATGGCAGCTAGCTGCATAGCCAGGGATAGCCATACACCATTATGGCAGCTTACTGCATAGACAGGGATAGCCATGCCCCACCATGACAGCTAACTGCATTCCCAGGGATAGCCATGCCCGACCATTACAGCTAACTGCATACCCAGGGATAGCCATGCCCCACCATGACAGCTAACTGCATATCCAGGGATAGCCATGCCCCACCATGACAGCTAACTGCATAGTGAGGGATAGCCATACTCCATTATGACAGCTAACTGCATAGCCAGGGATAGCCATACTCCATTATGGCAGCTAGCTGCATAGCCAGGGATAGCCATACACCATTATGGCAGCTAACTGCATAGACAGGGATAGCCATGCCCCACCATGACAGCTAACTGCATACCCAGGGATAGCCATGCCCCACCATGACAGCTAACTGCATAGCCAGGGATAGCCATGCCCCACCATGACAGCTAACTGCATACCCAGGGATAGCCATGCCCCACCATGACAGCTAACTGCATAGCCAGGGATAGCCATACTCCATTATGGCAGCTAGCTGCATAGCCAGGGATAGCCATACACCATTATGGCAGCTAGCTGCATAGCCAGTGATAGTCATGCCCCACAATGACAGCTAACTGCATAGCCAGGGATAGCCATGCCCCACCATGACAGCTAACTGCATAGCCAAGGATAGCCATGCCCCACCATGACAGCTAACTGCATAGCCAGGGATAGTCATGCCCCACCATGACAGATCACTGCATACCTATGGATAGCAATACACCATTATGGCAGCTTACTGCATAGCCAGGGATAGCCATGCCCCACCATGACAGCTAACTGCATTCCCAGGGATAGCCATGCCCCACCATGACAGCTAACTGCATAGCCAGGGATAGCCATGCCCCACCATGACAGCTAACTGCATTGCCAGGGATAGCCATGCCCCACCATGACAGCTAACTGCATAGCCAGGGATAGCCATGCCCCACCATGACAGCTAACTGCATACCCAGGGATAGCCATGCCCCACCATGACAGCTAACTGCATAGCCAGGGATAGCCATACTCCATTATGACAGCTAACTGCATAGCCAGGGATAGCCATGCCCCACCATGACAGCTAACTGCATACCAGGGATAGCCATGCCCCACCATGACAGCTAACTGCATAGCCAGGGATAGCCATGCCCCACCATGACAGCTAACTGCATAGCCAGGGATAGCCATGCCCCACCATGACAGCTAACTGCATAGCCAGGGATAGCCATGCCCCTACCATGACAGGTAACAGCATACCTAGGGATAGCCATGCCCTCCTATGACAGCTAATGGCATACCTAGGAATAGCCATACAACTGCATAGCTAGGGATAGCCATACACCATTATGGCAGCTAGCTGCATAGCCAGTGATAGTCATGCCCCACAATGACAGCTAACTGCATAGCCAGGGATAGCCATGCCCCACCATGACAGCTAACTGCATAGCCAAGGATAGCCATGCCCCACCATGACAGCTAACTGCATAGCCAGGGATAGTCATGCCCCACCATGACAGATCACTGCATACCTATGGATAGCAATACACCATTATGGCAGCTTACTGCATAGCCAGGGATAGCCATGCCCCACCATGACAGCTAACTGCATTCCCAGGGATAGCCATGCCCCACCATGACAGCTAACTGCATAGCCAGGGATAGCCATGCCCCACCATGACAGCTAACTGCATTGCCAGGGATAGCCATGCCCCACCATGACAGCTAACTGCATAGCCAGGGATAGCCATGCCCCACCATGACAGCTAACTGCATAGCCAGGGATAGCCATGCCCCACCATGACAGCTAACTGCATACCCAGGAATAGCCACACACCATTATGGCAGCTAACTGCATAGCCAGGGATAGCCTAACTGCATAGCCAGGGATAGCCATTATGGCAGCTAGCTGCATAGCCAGGGATAGCCATACTCCATTATGGCAGCTAGCTGCATAGCCAGGGATAGCCATACACCATTATGGCAGCTTACTGCATAGACAGGGATAGCCATGCCCCACCATGACAGCTAACTGCATTCCCAGGGATAGCCATGCCCGACCATTACAGCTAACTGCATACCCAGGGATAGCCATGCCCCACCATGACAGCTAACTGCATATCCAGGGATAGCCATGCCCCACCATGACAGCTAACTGCATAGTGAGGGATAGCCATACTCCATTATGACAGCTAACTGCATAGCCAGGGATAGCCATACTCCATTATGGCAGCTAGCTGCATAGCCAGGGATAGCCATACACCATTATGGCAGCTAACTGCATAGACAGGGATAGCCATGCCCCACCATGACAGCTAACTGCATACCCAGGGATAGCCATGCCCCACCATGACAGCTAACTGCATAGCCAGGGATAGCCATGCCCCACCATGACAGCTAACTGCATACCCAGGGATAGCCATGCCCCACCATGACAGCTAACTGCATAGCCAGGGATAGCCATACTCCATTATGGCAGCTAGCTGCATAGCCAGGGATAGCCATACACCATTATGGCAGCTAGCTGCATAGCCAGTGATAGTCATGCCCCACAATGACAGCTAACTGCATAGCCAGGGATAGCCATGCCCCACCATGACAGCTAACTGCATAGCCAAGGATAGCCATGCCCCACCATGACAGCTAACTGCATAGCCAGGGATAGTCATGCCCCACCATGACAGATCACTGCATACCTATGGATAGCAATACACCATTATGGCAGCTTACTGCATAGCCAGGGATAGCCATGCCCCACCATGACAGCTAACTGCATTCCCAGGGATAGCCATGCCCCACCATGACAGCTAACTGCATAGCCAGGGATAGTCATGCCCCACCATGACAGATCACTGCATACCTATGGATAGCAATACACCATTATGGCAGCTTACTGCATAGCCAGGGATAGCCATGCCCCACCATGACAGCTAACTGCATACCCAGGGATAGCCATGCCCCACCATGACAGCTAACTGCATAGCCAGGGATAGCCATGCCCCACCATGACAGCTAACTGCATACCCAGGGATAGCCATACTCCATTATGGCAGCTAACTGCATAGCCAGGGATAGCCATACTCCATTATGGCAGCTAGCTGCATAGCCAGGGATAGCCATACTCCATTATGGCAGCTAGCTGCATAGCCAGGGATAGCCATACTCCATTATGGCAGCTAGCTGCATAGCCAGGGATAGCCATACACCATTATGGCAGCTTACTGCATAGACAGGGATAGCCATGCCCCACCATGACAGCTAACTGCATACCCAGGGATAGCCATGCCCGACCATTACAGCTAACTGCATACCCAGGGATAGCCATGCCCCACCATGACAGCTAACTGCATATCCAGGGATAGCCATGCCCCACCATGACAGCTAACTGCATAGTGAGGGATAGCCATACTCCATTATGACAGCTAACTGCATAGCCAGGGATAGCCATACTCCATTATGGCAGCTAGCTGCATAGCCAGGGATAGCCATACACCATTATGGCAGCTTACTGCATAGACAGGGATAGCCATGCCCCACCATGACAGCTAACTGCATACCCAGGGATAGCCATGCCCCACCATGACAGCTAACTGCATAGCCAGGGATAGCCATGCCCCACCATGGGATAGCCATGCTACCATGACAGCTAACTGCATAGCCAGGGATAGCCATACCATTATGGCAGCTAGCTGCATAGCCAGAGATAGCCATACACCATTATGGCAGCTGCATAGACAGGGATAGCCATGCCCCACCATGACAGCTAACTGCATTCCCAGGGATAGCCATGCCGACCATGACAGCTAACTGCATACCCAGGGATAGCCATGCCCCACCATCACAGCTAACTGCATACCCAGGGATAGCCATGCCCCACCATGACAGCTAACTGCATATCCAGGGATAGCCATGCCCCACCATGACAGCTAACTGCATAGTGAGGGATAGCCATACTCCATTATGACAGCTAACTGCATAGCCAGGGATAGCCATACTCCATTATGGCAGCTAGCTGCATAGCCAGGGATAGCCATACACCATTATGGCAGCTTACTGCATAGACAGGGATAGCCATGCCCCACCATGACAGCTAACTGCATACCCAGGGATAGCCATGCCCCACCATGACAGCTAACTGCATGCGAAATTAGCCATGCCCCACCATGACAGCTAACTGCATAATAACTGCATAGCCAGGGATAGCCATACTCCATTATGACAGCTAACTGCATAGCCAGGGATAGCCATGCCCCACCATGACAGCTAACTGCATACCCAGGGATAGCCATGCCCCACCATGACAGCTAACTGCATAGCCAGGGATAGCCATGCCCCACCATGACAGCTAACTGCATACCCAGGGATAGCCATGCCCCACCATGACAGCTAACTGCATAGCCAGGGATAGCCATAATCCATTATGACAGCTAACTGCATAGCCAGGGATAGCCATACTCCATTATGGCAGCTAACTGCATACCCAGGGATAGCCATGCCCCACCATGACAGCTAACTGCATAGCCAGGGATAGCCATGCCCCACCATGACAGCTAACTGCATATTCAGGGATAGCCATGCCCCACCATGACAGCTAACTGCATAGTCAGGGATAGCCATACTCCATTATGACAGCTAACTGTATAGCCAGGGATAGCCATACTCCATTATGGCAGCTAGCTGCATAGCCAGGGATAGCCATACACCATTATGGCAGCTTACTGCATAGACAGGGATAGCCATACTCCATTATGACAGCTAACTGCATAGCCAGGGATAGTCATGCCCCACCATGACAGCTAACTGCATAGCCAGGGATAGCCATACTCCATTATGACAGCTAACTGTATAGCCAGGGATAGCCATACTCCATTATGGCAGCTAGCTGCATAGCCAGGATAGCCATGCCCCACTATGACAGCTAACTGCATAGCCAGGGATAGCCATACTCCATTATGACAGCTAACTGTATAGCCAGGGATAGCCATACTCCATTATGGCAGCTAGCTGCATAGCCAGGGATAGCCATACTCCATTATGGCAGCTAGCTGCATAGCCAGGGATAGCCATACACCATTATGGCAGCTTACTGCATAGACAGGGATAGCCACCATGCCCCACCATGACATTTAACTGCATACCATACTCCATTATGACAGCTAACTGCATAGCCATGCCCCACCATGACAGCTAACTGCATAGCCAGGGATAGGGATAGCCATGCCCCACCATGACAGCTAACTGCATAGCCAGGGATAGCCATGCCCCACCATGACAGCTAACTGCAGCCAGGGATAGCCATGCCCCACCATGACAGCTAACTGCATAGCCAGGGATAGCCATGCCCCACCATGACAGCTAACTGCATACCCAGGGATAGCCATGCCCCACCATGACAGCTAACTGCATAGCCAGGGATAGCCATACTCCATTATGACAGCTAACTGCATAGCCAGGGATAGCCATGCCCCACCATGACAGCTAACTGCATACCCAGGGATAGCCATGCCCCACCATGACAGCTAACTGCATAGCCAGGGATAGCCATGCCCCACCATGACAGCTAACTGCATAGCCAGGGATAGCCATGCCCCACCATGACAGCTAACTGCATACCAGGGATAGCCATGCCCCACCATGGCAGCTAACTGCATAGCCAGGGATAGCCATGCCCCACCATGGCAGCTAACTGCATAGCCAGGGATAGCCATGCCCCACCATGGCAGCTAACTGCATAGCCAGGGATAGCCATGCCCCACCATGGCAGCTAACTGCATAGCCAGGGATAGCCATGCCCCACCATGGCAGCTAACTGCATAGCCAGGGATAGCCATGCCCCACCATGGCAGCTAACTGCATAGCCAGGGATAGCCATGCCCCACCATGACAGCTAACTGCATAGCCAGGGATAGCCATGCCCCACCATGACAGCTAACTGCATAGCCAGGGATAGCCATGCCCCACCATGACAGCTAACTGCATACCCAGGGATAGCCATGCCCCACCATGACAGCTAACTGCATAGCCAGGGATAGCCATGCCCCACCATGACAGCTAACTGCATACCCAGGGATAGCCATGCCCCACCATGACAGCTAACTGCATACCCAGGGATAGCCATACACCATTATGGCAGCTAACTGCATAGCCAGGGGTGCCTGCATGCTAAGAGGAGCATTATGATTTCCTTTCCCATAGGGCATTTATAACATAGCTAAGCATACCACATGGGCTGGCATGGCCTCTTGTATAGGGCAGTTAAATCCCACGAGGTCAGGTACAGACAAGTCTATTGCCACCTGTATCGTAGCAGGCCAGGTACAGACAGCTTGAAATGTCACCAAATGTCCCCCGATCAGCTGTCACCTGTCCCCCTACAGACAATGTACAGCAAGTCACAGTGTGAACCCGCCCGGTAACTTACCATACACCTCCAGGGCTCGCTCCTCCATGACCCGGGCTCGCTCTCGGTCCCTCGGTTGCCTCCGTAGAACAGCCAGTAGCCCGGCCAGCAGCTCCATGCCACCACGCCCAGCCCGCGCAGCAAACCAATGTCGTGCAGGGCATCACATGGCTCCCCGTGTCTCACGTGACTGCCGGATTGACTTCCGGGTTCGGGCTGGAGTCATGTGACTGCAGGAAGATGGCAATGCCTAACCAAAAATGAGGAGTTAAGATAACTTGTAAACAGACCCTGTTGTCTGGTATCTGGGAGAGCAGGTACACAATAGAGCAAAACTAGTGTGTGGAGAGCAGTGAGTTACTGTCTTATAGTGGATATTGATCCCTGTGATGGAAAATGGGCTCCTTACAGTAATTGGTATTATAAGTGCTAATTAGAAATGGAAACAGACAGGTAAGCATGTATTGTATGTATGTAATAATATGCATATTGTCCAGGGCCTTTTCAATTTTTGTTTTGCTATTCATTGCACTCTAATCGCTTTGCCTATACCAGCCAAATGTGTCTGTAATGGTTGGTTTTGTAATCGCTCTGTGCAGGTTAAAATGGATGAATGCAGGTCGTTTAGAAATATGTGCTTTTAAAGGTTTCAATGTAATGTCACAATGAGTTGGGATTGGTGTAGATGACCCTTTTCCTCTTGTTTCACTGCAGCAATAAAATGGATCTCTGTATTCTTCTGGCTCCTGGACTGGTTTTGCAAGAAGGAACTGAAAGACCGGTGAAGGTTTCAGTGAGCAGACATAAAAATCTGACTTTATGTAGTCTGCTCCCTGACGGTACACTTAATCTCACCACGCTACCAGCAGGAAAACAGAATTGTTATCATACCCAAGTGGATGGATCTATCTCTCAGTAAGATCGCCCTTTGCAATTGGAGCTATATGTATTCTTCAGTTTAGTCATACCAAGAATTATAGGGAACCGTGTAATATACATTGAAGATTTGTGTGCAGAGTGATACATAGTGAGAAGTAATCTCGTAAAGTATATGTAGCGGTTAGCGGAGTACTATACACCATACAACATTTTAACAATCAAGCATAAAATGAGTAGAAAGTTAACTAAAAGATATAGGGGAAGAGGGCAGAAGGGTAAGTAGGAATGTACCTGAAAATGAAGAGAGAGGCTGCAAATGGTTAATAGCATTGTGGTACGAGAATAAGGTTCCTCTGATAGCTGCAGCAAGTTGGTCCATAAGTCTTCTTTTCAACTATGGTTCAGATCTCTCGTACAACTTGTCTTTCTATATATGTGACACTTAAAACAAATCTGCAAAGGTTTCCTAATGTGTGTATGTTTTGTTCTGCTCTGTTAATGTGGTCCTACTTGTGTTTCTGCAGATGGTAGAATGTGGGAACTGAACTCGTAAGAGCTATTTTACATCTTTTTTTTTTTTTTTTTTTTTAATGCCCCAGGTTCTTGTGGGGTGATTCTGATGGCAATGAAGATACTTCAGAGAAAAGCCAAAATCTTCTTGTCCTTCATGAGAATAAGGATATCTCTGTACACAAGGTGAAAACTGCCGGTGAAATTTTAGAAGTGACCTCAGTCTGCCACTTTGATGAAGACTCTTTGATGCATCTCTGTGCCGATAACCATGTCTGTGAGTATGAATAGACATTTATACTTTAAGTAGAAAGTAGGCTTGTAAGCTGATGGCGTGCCTTATATATTTAATGCAGGTGTAATAAAATCTTTACAGTTTTCTTTTAAATTTGGCAGAATTACATCACTTTGTTCCCCCAATAATATTTGCCTTGTTTTTGTTCTGATTTAGGAAACCACACACAAACATTGACATTTGTTTTCTTTTAATCCCGTTAATGCTTATGCGTTTAATATACCAACTTCTCAAATAAATGATGGGAAATTAAAACATTTAATATACTTTTAAACTCCAAAATGAATATTTAACTAAGCTCAAAATGAAAGAGTAAACCTAATTAGTAGGGCAATAAAACTGTAGTAAAGCTTAAAATACTTTATTTTATTTATTTTTTTACATTTATTTATACACATTTTGTTCTAATATGCAATGCTGGGGTTATCTTGCATTTACAATTGTCTCCTCTACCTAACCTAGCATACATCAGTAAAAAGTCATTTTAGACAAACTTACCTCTTTTCTGAACTCATAGTGCATTAATTGACTCTTTGATGGGAATGACACATGCCATCAGTGCAGTTTATTTACATGTATACAGAGTTGAGTTGTGTTAATCGAATTTTTGGTTTTATGCGGGAGGTAAAGAGTACTGTCAATATAACTAAAGTGAATATTTTTGAAAAGCAAATAAGATTTCCTGGGTATTTCCAAATGCATGGACCTGTTTTTGACACTTGACGTGACTGGATTGTCACTGTGTTATTTGCCTTTCTCCTTTATCATGAAGGAGTTAACATCCATTCCTTTTTGGGACAGAAATTAAATTTTGTTGCTACTGGATTTTGCTCTGCATAACGAGTGCAGCTGATGACAAGCTTCCCAAAATGTTTTTTAAATTTGTATGAATTTTCTTCCATGATAGAGTGTTGGTAGGAGCCTAGGGTATATGATGATGTGTTTTTGTTTCTCTGTTTCTATAATTCGCTCTTATGTTGCTGGTAAATGCATTGGTACTCTTTGGGTGCTTCTTGTTTTCTTAATATCTCTGGACCTTTGTCCCTGACAGTGGGCAGATATTATATTAGTAACATGGATTGAAGTGGCAGATAAGAAACAGTTTACCAAACTACTCTGCCTTTAACTTATTCTTTGACTAATTTAATCTTCATCTAATTTTTTTTTTAAACATTTTTTTATAACAGGTGTCTCATCTGAGCTGTCCGTTAGGCTCCTTGCTCTGCACTGTGATCAAATACTCCTGCTGCTCAATAATTGTGTTCTGCTGCAGCTCAGTTGGGCTGGAGAAGGTCTGAGCCCACAGTTACTCTCCTGCTTCTCTCTAGACCTGGACCCAGAATCTGCTGATCGGATATCAGACGTGTGCCTAAGCAGTGAAGTTTTATTCCTGCTGGACACCTCTGGCTTTGTATGTATCCTTTCTGATATATGTTTTTTCCCTCTGGAAAAGCTTTTTTCATTTTCCTCATTGTCCGGTGTCTGGACTGTGAATTTTAAGTTTTTGAAGTTTTGTTTCCCAGTTATTCAGTTTAAACATTTTTGAGTGTTTTTTACATCATCCGATCTCCTGAACTCAGATCAATTAACTAACTTGTGCCAGAGTCAGTCAACATCAACCAAACCTAATGAGGAAAAATGCATATGGAAATCTTGTAATAAACATTTACCGTAGTGTGATACCTATACAGGGTCTATAAACTACCCATATTTCCCATTATTAAAATATCAGTTTGAATAGATGTAAAAGACTAGAAATGTTTAGTTTTTTTGACACCACAACCTGTGGGAAAGCACAGTGTGGTCATCGTGCACTACATCTTCCTCAATAGAGCATCTCAAAACTGGTGGTAAGAACTATTCCATAAGTGTATTGAACTGTAAATCTAATTTGGGGAGTCATGTCAAGTATTCTCTCAATGTTGTACTCCTTTACATGATACTGCAGATGTTTATGATGCCGTGGATGGCTCACATGTAGCTGAAATAGAGATTCCTCTTAGGCGTGAGCCTAATTCATTTGACCCATTAATAAACATATGTGTTTCTCCCGGCTTGGGTATAGTTTTGGTTTCTTCTGGGAATGGCTGGGTACTTCCTGTGCGTCTGAACAGAGACTTCAGGTATGGCAGTATTTGATTTGTTAGGAAGATGTAATAAAAATGAAAAAATGTGTAGAAAAAAGTGAGCTACTAGCAAGGTTTAATATTCGATTAAAGCCTTTATGAGCATTATGTGAGAGATGGATCTGTGAAACACACATTAAAACTGAAGTTGCTTACCCAGAGCTCCACTATGTAGCAGATAACAGATCCATCTCAACAAGGACAAATGTCCTGATAATTGAAGAATGCCATGTTCAACACGATCAACACGATCTGGATTAATAGGAATTTTATTGGCGCTCACAGAACATTCATATTGAACTGCAAGCAGTCCTTGCTTATATGGTATTGTTAACCCAAGACAAGTAAATTTTTTTGGCTCCATCTGTGATTCAGTCCCATATGAATGTTCTGTGAGTCCCAATAAAGTTCAAATTGTTCTGAGTCCTGTTTACCATGGTGTTCTTTTATTAACTGGACATTTTCCTTTTTTGAGTGGGATTTGTTCTCTGGAATTCTCTGCTGATTATCCAAAATAAGAAACAGCATGACGACTAAATAAAAATGAAAGGTGGACAATTATTATTTTTATTTAGAATTTTTTTTTTTCTTCTTTAAAAGATCACTCTACTGGTGTTATCTAAACTATCTGTCTCTATAAAACCCCATTAAAAATTAAATAAAAAATGCAGATGTTCCCTTTTTTCTCTCATGTGGTAAATTCATTCAGACTTCTTCATACAGATAATAAAAGAGAAGACGACGTAAGCCAGCGGGTGTCATGCATAGCTCAGTTATCTATTTAATTGTTCATCAATTCTGGACAGTGATCTGGATTTCTTGTACAAGGGAATATTGTTTTAATGCTTGCTTGATCAGCGTCTGAGGTTGTTGTCCATGTGATGCTCTATAGTAGATACCATAGTGAAAGTTAAACAAGTTCTGGGTTTCTGTTTTACCCTTGGCATCACTCTTTCGCTCAGGCGGAACTCAGAACACCATGCATGCCTTACAGACGATAACGATGAGGATGAGCTCAGCAGCTGTGATGTGAGAAGACCCGAACATGCCTTACGGACAGACAGGTTAAACACTCCGTTAAATAGATGTTATACACTCCTCCTTTTAATGCATTCCTTGCACACACATCTCCCATCCATGCTCTGCACATACATTCTTTGATCTTTATGTCCATCTGCTTCATTGCTGCTTCTATTTTATACATGTGCCATTATCTGTGTTTATTCCTGCAGTGTTTAACTCTAACGTCTGCTTTTAATTTCTTGTACCTAAAGGTCATGGGAAGCCACTTTGTCTTCACTTTGCAAAGAATCCAGATATGTAGAAGACTTCCTCTTGTATCCCCAAGCTTTGCTCCCTTGTAGTAAATCCTCACAAATACCGCCCAGTTGGACTCCTGTTGGGGAAGGTTGGCTGCATATTTTACAAGAAGAGGCAGAGGAGCCAGTGAGTTTGCACATTTGGTTTGTGACCTCCAAGAGTGCTGTTTTCTGTCTCCTGGGAAGAGATGGAAATCTTACCATAGCACACCTCAACATGGAGACACAAGCTGTGACATACCATCCCTTGGGTAAAGCTCTGTATGTGGACTGTGCACCAGATGAAGCATGCCTAGTGATCACAGGTGAGGTCAGAATGTTAGATTAAAGCAAACATATATAGACTAAGTGACAGATGTTGTCTGTAGTATATAATTCCTTGTCACAGTGGCAGAGGTGATGTAGTGGTGAATCCAGACGGATAGTCATGGAATGCTGAAGTCTTGCAGGTGATAGTGTTTTAATGAAATTCTCTCCCTCCAGGTAAAGGGCTTTCTCTAGTGCAGTTTGCTGCGTCACAGGATGAGTTTTTGAGTAGACTAATGATTCACGGCAATGCAAGTAGTGCGGATATTTTGTGCCACCTAAACAACTGGGGGCGCTGCTCAGTACCTATCCACACGCTAGAGGTAAGGAAAATGACACCTGCAAAAAAAAAAAATGTAAATCTCAACTTTTTGCTGCAAGATTTTCTTCCTTAAATGAACACTCCGAGCACCATAAACACTGCAACGTTCTGTAGTGGCTGTGTTGCCAAGAGTGCCCTGGCGGACTCCCAGAGTAAGCAGTCAAACCATTTACAAACAGTTCAAAAACATGCCTGGGGTCTGCTTTACTCAGGTCTCATTCTCCTGTGGAGCAATAAGCACTTGCAATGTGAGCTTGCTCAACCAATGAACTAAGCCCTGCACCTTTAGGCTAGCTCAGTGCAGAGAGCGCTTCTGGTCGCACAGGTAAAGGTGACTGGTCCCAGCAGACCCCAAGTAAATTGTTGCACCAGTCGCAAATTGTTTGGCTTCTTAATCTGGGAGTGCACTATAATGGTTATGTGGTTTACTGTGTCCTCTCTCTATCCATGGCCATTTCACACCCCATTTCTGTTTGCATTACTCCACCTTCCTATCTGATTGGTTTCTTCCTACTGGGTACTTTTTAGGCTGGCCTAGAGAACAGGCAATTGGACACTGTTGATTTTTTCTTGAAGAGCAAAGAAAATATCCTAAATCCCTTGATTCCTGAGGATACTGGAGCTACTATTCAATCAGAGCAATACTTACACCGTGAGCTCATTCAGTTCTTATTTAGCTCTGTCTGTAACCTTTTCATCTGTATTGTAGTGTCTCACCCTCTGTTTGTCTCTCTCTGCAGTTATTCATGGTCTTCTCCCAGCTCTTGACTTGCTCTTCTCCTATATCCGACACACTTCCAAAGAGACACAAAGCAAACATTTCTCAGAGCAATTGTTGAAGTTCACTCTTGGCTTCCTTAATGGTCAGTTACGCAATGTCTGCACCTATGTGCCTGGTAAGAGACTAAGCCAGTTATAAAAGAGATGGTTTGCAATAAATTGCAGGTTACAGCGACAAGCTGCAGTTGACGTTCCTTTTTTTTCTGCTGTGGAAATAATTTATTATAAAAAGAATAACATAGCAGATATTCACCTCATTAAGGTTTTGTTTGTTTGTTTGTTTTTTGGGATTTTTGTAAATGATTAACCTTTTTTTCCTCAGGGTAGCAGGGTTAAAACGTAGCAGGGCCACTGCAACCAGATCACTCAATTGAGATGAAATGATGTGGGTGTATTTATTGGTACTTTCAACCAAGCATCTCAAACTCTTGGCCCCTAGATGTTGCTGAACTACAAGTCCCATGATTCACTGGTCATCTATTGCGTTCAAAGAATTCTGTGTGCTGTAGCCCATCAATTTCTGGGGGCCAGAGTTTGACGTACTTGCCTTAAAACCTTGTGCGGCTAGTATCTCTGTTACGTATAGAGAAGGAGAGGACTTTGTGTTATGTATGTGTAGGAAAGGAAAGGGCTGTGTGTTACGTATGTATAGGGAAGGAGAGGGCTGTGTGTTACGGATGTATAGGGAAGGAGAGGGCTCTGTGTTATGTATGTATAGGGAAGGAGAGAACTGTGTTACGTATGTATTGGAAAGGAGAGGGCTGTGTATTATGCATGTATAGAAAAGGAGAGGGCTGTGTATTATGTATGTATAGGGAAGGAGAGGGCTGTGTATTATGTATGTATAGAAAAGGAGAGGACTGTGTGATGTATGTATAGGAAAGGAGAGAACTGTGTGTTATGTACGTATAGGAAAGGAGAGGGCTGTGTATTACGCATGTATAGGGAAGTAGAGAACTATGTGTTATGTATGTATAGGAAAGGAGAGGACTGTGTGTTATGTATGTATAGGAAAGGAGAGGACTGTGTGTTATGTATGTATAGGAAAGGAGAGGACTGTGTGATGTATGTATAGGAAAGGAGAGGACGGTGTGATGTATGTATAGGAAAGGAGAGAACTGTGTGTTATGTACGTATAGGAAAGGAGAGGGCTGTGTGTTACGTATGTCTAGGGAAGGAAAGGACTGTGTATTACGCATGTATAGGGAAGTAGAGAACTATGTGTTATGTATGTATAGGAAAGGAGAGGACTGTGTGTTATGTACGTATAGGAAAGGAGAGGACTGTGTGATGTATGTATAGGAAAGGAGAGGACTGTGTGATGTATGTATAGGAAAGGAGAGGACTGTGTGATGTATGTATAGGGAAGGAGAGGGCTGTGTATTACGCATGTATATGGAAAAAGAGGTGGTTGTGTTCAGCGTATGTATAGGGAAGGAGAGGTGTTTGTGTGTAACATTATTTGCCTTTTCTGAATAGCTGAATTGTGACAACAGACCTCTCTTCAGTGTTCAGAGAATAGACCCATATTTTGCACGTGTCCTTGTTGTTTGGTCCATTCTCCTGTTTTTTTTCTTTCTCCATATCTGCAGAGCCAGACTTCGCAATTGAAGAATGTATCTGCATTTTTACTGGCTTCATCACTGCATTGAGACCCTTCATGAGAAAGTCTGTGCAGCCATCAAAGTCGGTGGTGGTCGCCCACGACATAGTGGTGAATAAAACATGGGAGAACTGTTCTTTACAGGTACGTATTGACAGAAGAATGGATTAATATGGGAAAATGACAGACCCATTATGTGTTTTAGACATTCTGTTCTAGACATGTTTAGTTGTGTAAGAATGTCTTTAAATGTTACTATTTGATAAGGATTTGTGAGTTTGCTCTAACTTTTATAAACTGATTTTTGGTATTTACTATTTCCAGCAAATTATCTCTGATGCTATCTTGACAAACCGCATTCCGGAAGCTCAGGCATTTCTTCGTGTTCAAGGTCAAACCTCATCCAGCCTGGAATGGCTGAAACAAGAAGGCTTGAAACTGGTGTTCAGATGCCTGCAGGAGAACCGTGTGGAAGAGGCATGTCAGCTGCTCCAGAACATGGTAAGAACGGGACTCAGTCACATTGCTATTAAGATGATCTCTACCTCCTGACTATATGTGCATGTCCACCAAGTAAGGTGGCATTTGGGTTCTTTAGCATTTCAGTTTTCTGGCTACATGGGTAGGAGTGAATGGAAAAGTATATTTTAGAAGATTTTTCTTCTGTTCTCTAGCAACAGATATAAATGTGAACACTGTTTAGCGCAGCTTACAATCTACGGTAGTTTTGGAAGTGATATCAGGATTTAACAGAATTTTTATGACTTATAGCAACACAACTTGCGTAGTCAATATTGCAGAGATGTTCTGTTCATGAAGTCTGTTACACACATACAGCCCTTGTCCCTTTGGTTCCATTTGGAGACCAGGGATTGGGTGAAATATGTTCTCCATTTCCTGGTTGAAAGGATGGATCACAACCCAGACATTCCTAAAAACTAGCTATTGCAGAATCTGGATTTATATGTTATTTTACATGTAACAATAATAAACAATTGTGTTGTTGCTAAGGGAAGATTTCTATATTACCACACTGCATTCTGTAAGTGTGCAAGAAATATTAAACTTTCCAGACTGCTATGACTTCAGTGGATCTATTTTCTAATCTGATACTCCTATTCATGTATTAAGTTCAGGATATGTAGGCACAGAGCCAGAATGTGCGCAGGAGATAATCGAAAGATATTTCTTGTTTATTGGGAAGCAGGTCTGTCTGTTACCTGTTACACAAATAAAAAAATAATAATAATTGCATGTTAATTGAAGTTGTTTTTATTATGTTTTATTTTATTTTTTTATATCTGGTAATTTTGGGTCCAAATGTTTCAACTCTCAGAGATCTATATCTATTGCAGGGATATTCCACATGGCACGAGCTTCAACGCATCTGTATGCATACATCCGATCGCAATATTCGGAATCTGCTGGTGAGTCAATCAGTCTGTACATTTGGCTTCTGCTCACTCTTACCGTGAACCTCTGAACTACCTACACGTTTCTTTTTAGGTTGACCTCTTGCAGAGAGAGGGGCAAATTTCAGAGAAACAACAGGAACAGATCCAGACTTTGCTTCGCGTCGAAGAGCTCTTCTATGACCCCGATGACAGTGCAGGAGCGGGGCAGAGTGTAGTGAATGTGAGGTATGTGGTTCATCTTGGTCTGTCTTATTAAGTATATATAAGCACACTGCGGGATATGTTGTTGAGCATAATGCTTTTGTTTATCAGGCAAGTATGGAAGAACCGCACTGGGGCTCCTGAATCTGCTGTTCTAGAAGAAGTTCTTACAGCTGAAGATAATGAACCAAAGACTTTGCGTCTGCACTGGGCTGAAGGCTGGGACAAGGATACACAAGAAGCAATCCTTCTTGAAAAGCAGAATGATGGGGGTCAGGAAATTCTTAAAAAGATTAAATACACAAAATGAAAATCATACTATTACCACACTATTTGAATCTATCTTTGTATTCACTAGAAGTAAGGGAAATCATAGGGCATGTTAACCATTCCAGACACTTTTAATTTTCAAGGTGCTTCTTTTTAGCAGAAACAATCTTACTTTATATATGTTCCTGAGCCCAGATCAGCTGATGGAGAATGGCTGTTACACGTAAAATACTAAATCTGCCCATATAACCTGAGTGATCAGATCTCGTTTTGCAGCGTTGAATGATTAAGGATTAGACTATTCATCTTTATTTATTTTTCTAGGGATTAAAATTTTTTGAGTTAGGGTTAATTTACATTTCTTTATTCTGAAACGTAAAGGTTCACTATAATCGCAGTAACCACTATAGGACACTACTAATTGTAATGGTTTGGGTGAAACACCACTGGTATGTTTCAAGCCATTGTTGAGCAGATTGTCAACAAAAATAAATCTGTGGCACAGATAATGCTTATTATCCCTTGCCACTCACAGTGTATCCCTGCCATCCAAAGTGGGTTGTATAATGGGGAAATCTAGATCTGGTTTCCAGGTGCTGTGAGAGCCCTATTTCTTGTCACATCACTTAAAAGGATTTGTCACAAACCAAGGGCACCCTAATAATTTGGACCATAACCACTTCAATGAGCTGCAGTGATTTTGATACTTAGAGTTTCACTGTAAACTATCATCTTGGTTTCTGTACTGTGATTGCTGCGTGAATGTATTCTGATTTTCAGAGAGCAGGGGCAGTTTATCACTTCTATTTTCTGAAGCCCTCATTGTCTTTCTTTCTCCATATCTCCCTCATTTAAGATCTCTCAACCTTTCAACCCCATGTTGTCTGGAGACGCCAAACTTTGTGGCATTCGTGGCCATCAATTTGCTCCTGGATTGAGGAAACTGGATTAAGTGCAGAAGCTGGTGGACCCAGTGTTTCCCAATGGCCACGTCTTACCGCAGATATAGTGGATGAGAACACTCTGTGCTGTGGCTACATGAAACAGAAAATCCTAGACAAACTATTGAGGTACTGAGAGAGTGTTTTGGGGACCGGTGCTGTGTGTTCTTGTTCTCAAGAAAGGGGATCTGTTCATTGATTTGCAATCAGTCTGTGTGCAGAGAGTGCCATGTAGGTAATTATTTGTACAAGCAGGTGGACATGTCTGTTCCGTTATGTACAGGGAGAACTAGGACTCTGTATTTTCCAGTATGTATAGTGAAGGAGACGTTTTGTGTGTGTGTGTGTGTGTGTAGAGAAGGAGATGTTGTATGTGTCTTACAGTATTTACGGGGAAGGAGAGAGCTGTATGGTCCAATGTGTATATGTGTGTGTAGTACTTAAAATAATTGAGTAGCGATGATAACTTGAGCTGTTGTCTCTTTCTTTTGCAGCATGGGGATCATTGTCCCCTCTGAAATGACAGATTTCGATTGTCTGTTGGAGCGACTGGCATTTGGCAAAAAACTAATGTCAGCTGCTGAATCTGACAATTTACAGTTTTTCATTGACAAAATGGATTTCCACACCCGCTTTATAGAGATGTGTGCTATGCATGGCCTGCAGTATCTTCTGTACACCTACCTTGATTACCACAGGTAACCACCTGGGGATGGGTAGTGGTGTATATATTGAGACTATTTATACATATAAAATTTCAGTGAAGACTGCTGTATGTTGTACATATGAATTTGTCTTGTATCACTGACAAGGTAAGCCCTGCACATATTATTTCTTCATAGACTGAATCCTCACAATTGTCCTGTTCTGGCCAGTCCGGCTCTTCATGAGAGTCTGCCCTGGTTTGGGTTTCTCGTTCAGATCCGAGGAATTCAAGATAACCCAGATGGCAAGTAATAAACTGAACACTGTTGGGTGGATTGCAGTGTTTGTGGTGTCTTGTTACCAAGCAGACTGAATGAATGTTTGGCTGCACTGCATTTTCTTTGTCATTGCTCCATTGTGTTTAGCATAAATATCCCATCATTCCCATGCCATGCTTCGGTGGGGAGGTTTCCAGCATTTTGCACCATTTATGTGCCTTCTGACCTGTTCCCTGCTCCTCGTTCTCAGATCACAGCCAGATATTCCATGCCAGCCTGGCTAATGCCCACATGGTGATGCCTGGGTCCCAGCCCAGTGTGAGCAGTATGCTGCTGGAAGGGCACACACTGCTGGCTCTTGCGACCAATATGTATGCCCCCGGTGGCATTGACAGGGTAATATTTTATTCCTCTTTATGTGGTTTGCAAACTATACTATCCTCTCACATGCACTCTCCATTCTTTACTTGTTTTCATATTTTTGGATTTGTTCCATAAACTGTGAATTGTAGCAAATTATAGATTGTTTTTGTGTGGATGGTTTATTAGTGTTATAGAGCCAGTTCTATTCTGTGTAACATATTACCCTAGACAGCTGTTCTGTATAATCAATGTAAATGAATATATTGCCCTATATTGTTCTTGTATCATTGCTACATAGTAATAGATGTCCTAAATCTATCTTGGTTAATGACCAATGGTCTAATAACCAATTTACATATATCCATTTCAAACACCATATTTTATCTTCTTGGTCATAGTGTCCTTTCAGATTTATAGTAGAGAGATGAGATGAAATGTAAACCGTATATTGTAATAAAAGTTATCTATTGTGCTGAAAGCTTGTCTTCATTCTTCTCCTTCAGGTAGTGGAGCAGTGTGAGGAACCAACCGCATCTTCCAGGAATGTAGATCCCCAGTTACTGAAGATGGCTCTGGCTCCATATCCAAAGCTTCGAGCTGCTTTGTTCTCCCAGCACCCAGCCCATGGATCCCCTTCCCAAGTCTCCCTCTATCATCTCCTGCAGGTATGGGAAAGAGGGCCATATCCAGACACATGATCAGATGGCGTTAAATAATATTGTTGTATAATGATAAACATTTCTAATTAGATGATAAGCCATATCTGTTTCTCGTTGTGCCCAGGCACTCGCTCCCTTCAGCCCAACGCATTTCTTCACTTGGCAGGAAACAAACACATTAGCAGCTGCAGGTAATTACCATCCCAGTTTTTGTGGGGAAATGTAATTGGTAGCAGTGTGAGGTGGGCATTAAAGGGACACTCCAGACCCATAAATCACTTTAGCTTATTGAAATACTTTTTTTGTGAAGAGGTGTCTTTTTGTTTTTCTATTTATTTTTTCTTTTTTTCAATTTACATGAAGTGCAGATTTCAATAGAAATTGGCATGTTTATAAATTAACCTGGTTACACCCCCTGGCTTTCAAGCAGACCACTTGTCCTGTTACTTCCTGGTTGTTTGGCTGTTTGTTCTTTCTTTGGTCAGCTGCATTGCAAAGTCTGTGTTTCGACAGCCACAAAACGTCTGGACAGGGTAAAGAAGTGGAGTGCTTGCAAAGGCTTTCGGGAAGAGATCTGCAGCTTTTTCCATTGCAGGGATTTCTAAAAACAGCTTGTAAAAGGCATTATTAAATGCATGCATGTTTTCATTGGGGGCATATCTACTAAACATCGATTCTATTTTAATTATTATTATTATTTGGGAAGTGGAATGTACATGTAACTGTCCCCTTGCAACATTCTCCTTTTTAGATGCTCCCAAAGAGCTCTCTCACTTCTCCTGCCCTCGACTTGTCAATAAGCTGTCAGTGGCAGAGCAGCTTGATGTCTACTACTATCTACGTAGTGGGCGCCCCACAGTTGCTTTTGCCACTTTCTTGATGCAGCAGCTTATAAGGAGCAACGAACCCCAACAACTGTAAGTCTAAGAAAGGAATCTTCATCAAACGTAGTTTTTGTTGATCTTCAAGACTTTCTGCTATTCAATCCTCCTTTTAATTTGCTGGATTCTGCTAGCCGTAAAAAGTATGCTTTTTTAATCCCTATGCTTCCGCTCTTGATTTGTAAATTGAACTACATGTATATCTTTACACTACATTAAATATACGGCACACTCTGTAAAAAACAAGATTAGTCAATGTGCTTGGCACAGTGCTGTTCTGAATTGTTACCCAATTTCAGGGGAACCCTTAAGCCATCTCCAGTTCTTAGGAGAAATCCATTCATGTTACAAGATGTTTTATATGCCATGGCGATGCTAGGGTCTTTAAAATTAAAACATGAACTAGGCAGTTACTTTCTGTGTTTTTGCCATGTCATATTTCTGTCTAGACCTCCTTCCCTTTTAACTTTCTTTTCAATTCTTCATTTACAGGATTCAGCAGATGTCAGAGGATGTTTATAGATTGGCATTGTCCTGGTTCAATGTTCCATCTGTGGTTGCCTCCTGCGTTTGCTTTATGGAGTTACTGGGACTCCGTAGTCACCGGCTTCGTGTGGATGTGAATGTTGGAAATTTATTATTGATTAATACAAACTCTAAGCATGATGGATCGGGGCAAAACTTTCAAGCAGAGTGTATAGGTATTGATTTGTGTTGATCAAGTGCTTTACACTGTGTGTCCATTGTATAAGTCATATGTATGTTTTGCTATCAGTGTTTGTTCTCGATGTGCATCTTACTCCAATATTCTCTGTGTCTACCGTCTGTCTCCAGCCCAAAAACTATCCAACCTATTGAACAATGAGACTGAAGCTGCCGGTGAGATTTCACTTCTTTTAGAAGAAGCCATGAGTTCAACTCTGGAGAATGAATGGGAGGCCAAGTAAGAGAAATAAGCATAAATGTGAATGATAGTGAGTGTGGTTGCATATGGGAACAGTGTTATGCGTAGGACTGGACAGAACTCATGAAAAGGTGGCTGAGTGATATAATCCAAGGGAACATTTCATTGCCTCGAAGACATAGAAAAGGAACCGGTGATTTACTAAATCAAAGTGGAATACAGTGATTTCATGATGGCCTAGCCAGAGGTTGTCAACCTTCTTCACTCCAGATATTGTTTACTACATCCCCCATATTGCTGGCAAAGCATCAAGGGAGATGTAGTTCAAAACATCTGGAGTGCCAAAGGTTGCCAATCCGCTGGCCTAGACATATTCTGTAGAAGGGCAATATTAAGCAATTTGCCATTAATACACACAATATTGATAACTGCTCACCAAAATCTTATCACTGGGAAATCTGAAAGACAGCTTTATTGTTTGACTCTAACATGCCATATTGTAAAAAAATTCTACGGCTCTCTAGGTCAGTCAGGATTAAAGGATAAATAAATGGCACTTTACCAATTGCAGGTCTGTGTAATGAACTGAATCCTTAGAAATGTTTGTGCTTTGATATGCACTGTATGTATGCCCATTGCTTTAACTATTATCTTATAGTCTATAACTCGGTGAGTGCTAGAAGCTTGCGATTTGGCACTCCTCTGGCACTCAAAGGGTCAACTGCATAGACTGCAAAAGATGCACGTATTCCTACATCCAACTCTGTATGTTATGAAGAGACAAACATTTACTAAGTGAAATGTGACAATTTAAAGAACATCCACACTCTTGTGTCTCTGCAGCCCCAATCTCTCAAATAGGCCATGGTCCACTCTTGTGCAGTTTTGCCTCCTCCACTCTGTGCCTTTGAGCTCCAGATATTTGAGAAATTGTGCACAGAGACAGGACTGGCTGCAGCTTCTGGTTCATACAAACTCGCTTCAACAGGTCAGTACATGGTGTCTATCAAGGTATTCAATAAAGTGGCAATTGTTGTAAATTCAAGGTCAAACTAGCCAAACTAGAAAGATTCTCCAACTGAGCTATGCTGCCAGTTCATCTACTTTGGTCTTACATTTGAAATTCTCTTTGAATTCTCGATAATTCTCAACTTAAGCATAATCTTGTCAGTCTTTATCATTCTCTTGTGTTCTTACTTGCCTGTATTTTGCAGATATGCTGTGTTTTAGAGAACCTAAGCCCAGCTCTGGGCACTCACATTGCTCTGGCATTGCATGGCATGGCCTCGGACTCACAGGCCCCACACATTTTCCCAGCAGAGAGCAGTGAGCCAAGCACAGTTGATGTATTTCAGGTTTTACTTCGGTGCCAAAAGAGCGAAAGACCAGGATTTCTGCTTTTAAAGGAAAGCATGAGGTGCAGTGCTCCATTGCTGAGTGTGCTTGCTGCATGCGCACAGGTACATTTCTTCAACTGATGCACAATTCTTATATTAGAATGTGCTTTCTGAGTGTACAATAGTCATTACATGGATGCCGCGAGCATTCATACATTTGGCATGTAGTATTATTTTCTTGCCAAAAAAATAAAAAAATGGATTTGTGCTGCATAGTGTAAACTCCCTTGACCGTGATGTTCAATTCTTAAAGTAATGGTTACCCTGACATATCAGGGCTTTGCCATAACCTTCTTCAGACACCATCTTCCACTCCTCTGTCCCTAGGACGGCACTGACCTCATCTCTTGTCTCTGCGTGTGGGTTCTTACTTCTGTGGGTCCTACTACTTGTGCACTGATAACGAGGTCACTTTCATCCCCTGAAGATCATATATGGAGTTTACAAGATCTGATACTGATTTGGAACACCTTGCTGGAAAGAAAGATGACAAGAGTCTTGCATAGAGCATTCAGCATTTTTATGGAGGTACACTGAAACATAGTTTTCTTTTTCTTGAAAAAACTGAAAGTTTTAAATGAGTGCCTATCATTTAAGAAAACACTAGAATTAACGTCAGATTTTGAACATATACTCAAGTAACAGAGACAGATGTTATGGCTCATACGTGAAAGGTAGAGTGGTATAAAGATAGCTAAGGATAGTCAAGATTGTGATGAGAAAAGGGAAATCGGATTGAGGCAGAGAGGCCAACTGGTTAGGAACACTTGAATTATTTTGAATTAGTGACTTCTTCATATTTCCTATTTTTTCTTTTCAGGACAGCCCCCTGCTGCTCCTGCTTGACTTGTATGAGCTGTGTCTGCAACAGAAGAATTATCTAGATGCCAAACAAAAACTGCAAGATTTTCTGGCCCATCTGCTAGCAGTGAGTGATGTCGTCTTGCAGTTGATCTCCTGTATTTGAAATGTACTCACCTTAACTGTTTTTTGAATGTTTCGTGAAATAAATCCTTCCAGCTCCAGTCTGCCGATGCCTCCCACTCTTCTCTGCTACCAATTTCCTGGATTCAGGACCGGGCTTCTGAGATTGTTCATCTTTTACTCTTGCAAAGTCGAACCCCATATGAACAGAGGAACATTCTTCAGCTTTTGTGTGACTGTGACAGCCGGCAGTTTTGTGGACGTAAGGAAACTAGACTGTTGATGCAGTATAAGTTTATAATCCCATAATGTACTTTATTACACACTGATCTTGCTGATATGTTCCCAGGGCTGGAGATCCACAAGCTAAATGATCTCACTCAGATTCTACTAGACCAACCTGTCTGTATTAGTAAGGAGCTGCTTAGTGACTATAGCCCTGGAGGTCTTCAGAGGGAATGTCAACATCTGCTGGACAAACTATTGGGTGAAAAACATTTCCTTATTGCGCAGAAGGTAGCTGAACTGGCAGGACTACCTACTGACTGCCTGGTGAAAGAAGAGGTAAAATAAAACTTTTATTTAAAATAATCTGTGAAACCCTTCTGAATATTCCCACTCCTACCTCTTTTCATTCCCTTTTGTTCTAGACATTATGATATAATTGTTCCCATTCAGTACATGTGCTCAATACTGAATAGATATCAAATGATATAATACTAATATACTCAATACCATGTATAAGAAGTTCTTCTTTTTGTGACATGGTCTCTCTAGGTTTTGCAGGACAAACTCATCCTGCAAGAAATTGGACAATGGGCATGTCCACAGAGCCGTTTACAGTTTTGGAAAAAATGTCATGAGATGTTCTTCACCAACCAGCTGTCCCCAACCGTAGCATCCAACTTCTTTCGAGAGGCAGCTATTGCAGCTGTTGAGGAAGAACAAACAATTCTTTTGGCAGAGGAGGAGCTATTGCACACACTTGCAGGACATTGGCTGTCTCTTGATGATAGCCCTCCAGTAGCCGCGCTAGAAGAAATAGAGCAGATGATCTGGAAGTGTCGCATTGAGCGGGAGGTTTTGAGTAAGGCTGCAGAAATGAGAGCACATGGCATTGTGTCCTCTTTCACTAGTCTGGCTGCACAGTTTTCCTTTGCCGGTCTCCCACTACTCAACTCCCCATCACTTCTCGAAATCTCTTCTCTTCCACCACTCAATGTGAGCAGCACCTTGGACTCTGATCACACTAGGGCATTGAGCACCTTAATAGACCACCTCCTTGATGACAGCTGCATACATGAGGCCAGCCGTATATGCAGATACTATCAGATACCCCATCGCAATCTTTGGCTAGTGCTGAATTGCAGGGCACTTGCAACAGGAGAGACTACAAAGGATCAGATGCATCCTGATATCCAGACAATCCTCACAGAAGGACTAGAAATGGAAGAGTATGCATGGAAACGGAGGAAGAGGCTACAGAGCTGTGAGTGGGAAACCATTACATGTGCTTTACTGCATAGGCAGGCAAAATCATATTTACCGCTAGTATTTTTAGTTGTGTGACATGAAAGAGCAGTAGTAGCAGCATGTGTTAAAAAAACTAAGCTAGACCATGATTGCAGCAATAACATAGAGACATAGAATGTGACTGCAGATAAGAAGCATTCGGCCCATCTAGTCTGCACAATTTTTTTAAATACTTTGATTAGTCCCTGACCTTATCTTATAGTTAGGATAGCCTTACGCCTCTCCCACGCATGCTTAAACTCCTTTACTGTGTTAACCTCTACCACTTCAGCTGGAAGGCTATTCCATGCATCCACTACCCTCTCAGTAAAGTAATACTTCCTGATATTATTTTTAAACCTTTGCCCCTCTAATGTAAGACTAGGTCCTCTTGTTGTGGTAGTTTTTCTTCTTTTAAATATAGTCTCCTCCTTTACTGTGTTGATTCCCTTTATATATTTAAATGTTTCTATCATATCCCCCCTGTCTCGTCTTTCCTCCAAGCTATACATGTTAAGATCCTTTATCCTTTCCTGGTAAGTTTTATCCCGCAATCCATGAACCAGTTTAGTAGCCCTTCTCTGAACCCTCTCTAAGGTATCAATATCCTTCTGAAGATACGGTCTCCAGTACTGCGTACAATACTCCAAGTGAGGTCTCACCAATGTTCTGTACAATGGCATGAGCACTTCCCTCTTTCTACTGCTAATAACTCTCCCTATACAACCAAGCATTATGTCTGCCTACCTTTAAGTCATTAGAAATAATCCCATCTAAATCCCTTTCCTCAGATGTTTAGGTTAGGACTCTATCAAATATTCTGTACTCTGCCCTTGGGTTTTTCCGTCAGAGAAGGCAGAGATGGCAGGTAAAGCGCATTAGAAAACAAAGATGGCAGTCACAGCGCAAAGAGAGGGCAGAGATGGCCGCTGTAACGCAAGGAGATAGAAGTAGCAGAAAATCTTTCATTTTGGTTTCATGCGTTTTTAAATATTTAGGAATGAGTACTTAAACGGATATGTTTAAAAGTTGGTGTAATTCCCTGATTTAATAAAAATGATTATCATATTCTATTCTTACTATTGTTCCAATGTGTAAATGGTTATATATATTCCCAAGCTATTAGCTGTATTTGGAGGAGATGCTTCAAGTCCTATCTGCACATTGTTCGTGTCATTTGTAAATAACTCAATGCATTCATTTGCCTTTAGGGTGGGCTCTCTGCTAGTGTTGCAAGTTAAATAAAATTCATGATTCTTTTGGTATCTGGTACCCAACATTCTGCTCTCCTGTTGCTGTGGAATTCCAGCTTCCTTGATGCATGGGCACTTATAGTTTTAGTTTTTACATTCAAGCCTTCTTAGTTATGGGATTTTGTGAACATTCAATGTGGAAATTCTTTTAATTCGCACTATCTAAACTATATAATAGAGATATGGTCAGTATTTATTTAGCCCTAAGGGCTTCATTGTAGTCAGTCAGTCTTTTAAAGGGATATCTTCTCATTCAAATCCATCTATCTCCAGTGCCCAGCATCGAAACTCCTCCATCTCCTAAACAACATGATCCTGTGCTCAAATACCTGGAGATCCTCAAAGATGCCTGCACTCATGGGAAAACATTCTGTCGGCAGCTGCTCTGTGTGTATGAACTTAGCCAGGTTGGTGTTCATTAACTAAGTCCATCAAGTGAGACACCTGACAGTGTTAGGTGAGAGTGTTGAAGTTTTTCTAATTTTGGAACGCTGAGCGCATGACTTTAGCTTGGACAACGTGAGGTGTTTACACTGTGAACCTGGACGATATGTGCAGTAAATTCAATGTCTTTTTAGTTATTTTTGTTGTATTGTGTTGTCTTCTTAAGGATCTTGGATGTTCTTTCTCTGATCTCTCCTCTCGAGATGCGAGCGACATTCTCCGCTCTCTTATTTCCTGTCACCGCGATGACCTTAGTGAGAGAGCGCACGCAGTCATCACTTCACACCGGCTGTCTGCAGCTACTGTAGCAAATATTGTGACGGAGGAGGGACGGAGAATGTGGCAAGAACTGGACAAAGATATAGGTGGGTAACATGCAAGCAAATAAAGTAGTGATTGTTTGTGTCCACCTTCTTCTCTACAAACCTTTAATTTTGTTGCAGGCCAGGCTGAAGTACATAATCTGTCTGAGACACGGAAACAGTTCTTACAGCTTGCCAAACTATGCCCTGACCCTACCTTGGTGGGAATAACTCTTCTTGACAATCTGGAGATGGTTCCTCTAACAGAGTCACAATGCAGTGAGTATTGGTGGTGAAAGGTCAAAGGTCTTGCTTAGCATTGTTTAAATGATTTCCAATTTCTGCCTGTCACACTCTCTTGCACATTTCCATCAGTTGCAACAATTCTTCTACATTTTATGTTTTTTTTTTACACCTCCTGATTGTTTTTTAGTTATTGAACTACTGATCGCTGCTCACGAATGCTTCACTTTAACATGTCACCTGGAGGGCATTCGACGTGTGCTTCACGCATGCCGCTACCTGATCGAGATGCACCTAGCTCCTAACAAAGAGTACAGTCTTATGGTGTGTAACAAACTGCTCTTTCTCGTACTGCTAACCATTGTTTGTTTCCTATTTCTAACAGAGTATTTTTGTCTTGTCACTGGCTCAGGTGCGGCTCCTCTCTGGCATTGGTCGCTATAACGACATGGTTTACGTATTTGATATTTTGCACAAAACCCAACACTTTGAAGTTTTGCTGCGGAAACATCTGGACACGGTGAGGATGGGGCCCGTGCATGTAGAATTGGCAAGGATTACGGTTTTGGTGACCGTAATGCTTATTTTTATTTATTAAAGTGGGCAGCAACAAATTATTTATTTAATGCAAAATTACAGTGTACATTATCTATCCACACTCCCTAAAATCATATGGGTAACTCTGTACATAGTAATAGCTGCAGCGAGACATTTAGTAGATTTAATATCTTGCTATATTCATGCCACTTCTATTGTTATGTTTACTCTCCAGAAAGGAGGGCTACAGACTGCACTGGTGGAATACATTAAGCGTTGTCATCCTGGAGACAGTGAGAAGCACAATATGACAGCCCTGTGCTTCAGCATGCATCGTGACATTGGCCGCAACCACGAGCATGCTGCTCTTATTCAACTTAAACTCATCCAGTCCCAGCCCTGGGGTAAGAATTCCAGTTACACTGCTCTCCGTCATAGGATCCTGAGACACATCTGCTCATTGCTGGCTCCAGAGAGCTAGAAACGTGTTATCAGGCAACTAACAGCCAGCCTCTTTCTTTGCCATACTTTACAGAATACTGGATGACTGAAGTAGTGGAACTAAAGTCTTCATTAATGAAAGCACTGACTCTACTCATTGATGCTGCTGAGAGCTACTCAAAGGTAAACCCTGTAATAATGTCACTGTAATTGACTGTTTGTATCTGGTGGTTGCATATGCCTCTCTTGCAGTGGCTGCTCTTTAGAGTGGACTGCTATAGTTTTGCAAAGTAAAATAAACACCGGCTACTCCCAAATTTACTTCAACAATACATTTAAAGTGTGATCAGACTCCATCTGTATATCCTTCTAGCAAAATTCGTGGCTCAAGTAGTCGGAGGTGAGGGTCGACAAAGGCCCATGGTTTAGTAAAATGCAGTATTACCTATATGTTTTGCTACCTAGACCCAAAACGCTTCATCTTTTATTGTAACGTTTATTGAAATTATGATATACAAATAAGTTCAAAGCAAAAGTCTTGCTATGTAAAACTAATGTTACACCCTGATGTTGTACTTTGGGTATTTCAATAAAAAGAGATTGACAAAAAAATAAATTTGTGGCTCATGTATAGATCTTTGTAAAATCAGAAATAAAAAAGCCCTCTCCGTCTTGTGTCAATCAATGTATTTATACGTCTTCAGCATAAACATGAATAAACTGTCTGTCCTGCCTGTTGGAAGGAGAACCCTCTCCTCTGGGCTGGAAGGAGGTGCTCCAGGCAGGCTCAGTGTGAGAGCAGCATGGAGAGAGTGTTATGGAATAATTGCTTCATTGCAGCCGCTCCAGACAGGAACTCTGTAAGAGCAGCCATGGAGAGAGAACAAATAGCAGCATGCGGCTTTTATGATGGTGAAGCCAGTATGAAAATAACTGTATAGCGTGAACTAAATAGGACATTTAGCAATCTGCAAACTCACATCTGGTTTACAGCTTTGTCTGTTCACTAAGTATTGAATTGCAGTGTTTAGGCACTTTAAAAAACGAAAAACATACAGAAAAGTAGACAATCTCCTCTGCGCATAGCCTTTATGCCGCAGCTCCAATTAAAGAGGAAAAAAATAATAATAGTAATTAGGTGCACAGTGAGTACTTACTACAGGTGATAGATTCACTGCTGGGCTTCTGGTGCTGATTCCATAGTTCCAAATTCCATCACCACAAATTCAAAATAGAATGCACTTGGTAATCAGTAAGTTTTTTGGGGGGGCAATTTTTTGCGAATTTATCTAAGATTTTAGATCACGAGTTATTCATGAGGTCTGTGTGTATTTCTTTTATACCATATTCTTCAATAAACAGTCATTTTAAGGTTCTACCTTATGGAGATGATTTAGTGACCTTTTTTTGTTTAGGTAATGGAAATCATAAACTCAGGAGAGAATTTTCCAGTTCTGTTATTTTGGCCTCAAATTGCAACTTGGCTGTTATAAATTTGGGGTATAAGCATGCACCAGTGATGCTTATTTGAGTACACATAGCTTTGTGTTCCATCATTTTCTTGACTATGTCCATGCACAGGATTCTTGTGTCCGCCAGTCCCTGCGCTGTGCACGTCTCACCCGTCTTCTGACTTTGCAAATTCATTTGCTGAATGGTGGCCATCAAACCAGACTTATCAACTTGGAAAGAGAGAGTTTGATGGTGCCGATACTGGCACTGCCACGTTTCTATCAGGTAATTGTGCATGTACAGATCATTATTCTCAAAACAACCATTTATTAATATTGTTTCTTTGCCATCAATGTTGCAACTACCATAGGATCCCCTCCAAGCCCTGATCATATCCGCAATACTCCTTAAGTGAAGACTTCGACAGATGCATGTTTCATTCACAAGGCAGTAGAAAGTTCTAATGGTATTTAGCATTTAGTGATGGTCATTCTGTATTATCCTGTGCCTTGTAAAATGTACATACAGCTTAACAACTTTGGTTGGATGTCTTGTCGTTAGATGTAACCAGGCTGTCATTTTAGAAAATGCTCCTTGCTGCTAGAACTGATTATTCTTATTTGCATGTAATATGTGTTTCTGCATTTATGTGGGGAAAAGATAGCTTTATGAAATGTGCTTTTCATTTAGTCTGTTTATCCTCCACTTCTCGTACTTCTATGTCATTTAAAAAAAAAAAAAAAGTTTTATTTATATCTAAACTCTCTTGGCACAAGCAGATATATTGTTTAAATGTAGTGCAGTAAACAATGACTTTTAACAACATCTAGGGCCAGGAGAGTATATAGAAATATACTAACAATGATTTTGGTACATATTTCACATTAGTGTGCTACTTTGTGCAAGTCCTGAGTATTGTGTGTGTTTGATTTTTTTTTTTCCTCCAGTGATAAACAGGTGGTTTAGAATAAGTAAAATGAGCAGACTATCCACAATGAGACCAACACCAATCATGTTGTACATCTCTTTTCTAATATGTATTTCTCTCCTCTCACACTTGAATCCCAAACCCAGGCTGTTATTGTCACTGAGGCCTACGACCAGCAGCCAGACTGGGCAGAGGCTTTGTATCACAAAGTGATTGTTGGAGGCGACTTTCAGTATTTTGAAGAATTCAAACAGCGACAGGTGGTCCAGAGCGGATTGTTTGAAAATATATCCAACAAGTAAGATCTATTCCCACTGTAAAAGGCCATGGGTAGGGCAGGACGTGGGCCCGGCTGAAAAATCAGAAGCAGTGCATTACAATAGTAATGTATAGGGATATGAATTTAATTACCTGATGCGGACTCTGTCACCCATGTTTTGTGAATTCAATGAAATTCCACTGAGGATTTAAGGGACGCTCTAAGCACCAGAAACACTTAAAGGAACACTATAGTGTCAGGAATACAAACTTGTATTTCTGACACTATAGTGTTTAACTATTTAGGTTACTCCTCCCCTAAATGCATGAGAGAGGTGTTTTTATCACCTTTTTTTTTTCCCACACCACAACGGTCTCGCCACCTCTCCAGGGCTGAGATCATCAATCTTTATCATCTCAGCCAATACAAAAATAGGAAAGCATTGGGAGGCTATTGCACACGCATGGTAAAACGCAGCGCTGCACCTCCTCGTAAAGATGCATTGAATTTGTTCAGCTGAATGTGGATGCTGCACATAGTGCAGCACTTTACTAGGAAGCACCTCTAATGGCAGTCTGAGTGACTGCCACGAGATGTTTTTCTAGCCAGCAATGTAAACAATCATTTTCTCTGAAGAATCTATGTTTACAGTGCTCATCCTGCAGGGGCAGGCTCTAGTTGTTCTGTTGACTATAGTATCCATTTTAATGTAGTGGTTCTGGTGCTGTCTCTGACATGCAAACACTGCGTTTTCGGAGAAATGGCAGTGTTTACTTTGAAGGCAAGGAACACCTCACATGCTTTCACTTAGACAGCCACTAGAGCATGAAGCTGTCGAAAGCACCTTTCCGAAAAACTGGAGATTTTAAGTCACAAAAACAGAGCTGGAATCATAGGCCAAAACAGAGGAATTCGAAACATTATCAGAATCTGTTAAAATTGAAAATTCTCTTTTCAATTCTCCACTATTCCAGTTTTTCATTCTTTGGCTGTGGAATTAAAGATCACATTCTGTGCAGTGCTCCCGTCTATTAAAAAATAGAAATGATGAAGGCTAAATAATTCCATGAAAAGAGCCGATTTAGTGAAATACAAACAATTTATAGTTTGGAAATTACTGAAAAACTTCACACAGAAAATAAGTATGTAATGACTAACCTTGTCACACCTACAGCTCATTCTTTGTTTCCATTCAGATGTAAGCTGCATCCTCCAGGAGCGACTGGAGTTCAGAATCTGAAGAAACTGATTGATTACTGTGAGGATACCTACACACGATACAAACTGGCCTTCGAAAATGAGTTCTTTGATACAACAGACATTTTGATGAAAGACTCACAGACACGATGCTGTCTGACTGATATGCTCTCTAGGTAGGGTAACCTTGACAATGTCACTCAAAGGACAAGGTGAAATTGTGCTATGGATGTCAGTCATTGTTACTTCCATGGTTGACTACTCTATGCAGTTCAACTCAGTCAATTCAAATATCTCTCCCTCCTCCCCCCCCATACCTGCACTATTTGTAAAATTGTAAAACTGATTAAATACATTTTGATAACATTGTCTAACGGGCTGACAATTTGATTATTTTCAGTTGATTTCTTATTAATGCATTAATTAAAAACAGGGGTCACTGCCAGTTTAGAGTGGGACCTCAGGCTGTCTGAAGGTAAAATCACATCAGAATTCATCCTGTCCCTGGCTCAACCGAACGTCTTCCGGAATTCCTAGCCAAAGACGTATACTTCCAGGTAAGCCAAAGAGACGTTCCAGCACATTTATTGGGACAAAGCGTACAGAGCAATGTTTCGACCCAAACTACTGAACGTATTCGGGGTAGTGCTGGACCCTAGGTTGGTTTTGCACCCAGTGTCTGGCTCCTTTTGAAAGACTGCAGTTCTTGTTCTATTAAACGGACACTGCAGGCACCCAGACCACTTCTGACCATTGGAGTGGTCTGGGTGCCAACTCCCACTAACCTTAACCCTGCAAGTGTAATTATTGCAGTTTTCATAACCTTGCAGGGTTAACTCCTCCTCTAGTGGCTGTCTACTAGACAGCCACTTCAGTGTTTATAGCACACAAAATGTGTGCTATAGCGTCGCTGGACGTCCTCACGCTATGTGAGGACCTCCAGCGTCGCTGAAATCCTCATAGGAAAGCATTTTTCAATGCTTTCCTATGGGTCGGTCTAATGCGCGTGCGCGGCATTGCCGCACATGCGCATTAGGTCTTTGCGTCCGCGCATGCTCAGTAGGTTTCCCCCTGCCGGATGACGTCGGAGGGGGAGGAGTGTGGGCGGACCCTGAACCAGCGCCGAGGGACAGGTAAGTCACTGAAGGGGTTTTAACCCCTTTAGTAACTTGGGGTGGGAGGGAGAGGGGACCTGCAGTGCCAGGAAAAAGAAATGGAGAGTCCCTTTTAACTATATACTTCCAGGTTGACTTTTTCCCCCCTCCCATAGCTTTGTGCCAGGGCTGCTACAGAGAACCATAGTAGTGTGTGTAGTATGCTGCTCTGGTGGGGATATACCACTTTAAATAAGTAAATCTGAAAAGATTTGTGCTTTGTATCATTTCAAACAATTCCACAGCTCACTAATGACTGACTGCCAGCACTGGAAGGTGCTATTATGGTGGTCAGCACCTGCAGGATGTTTAAACTTCATGCGTCCCACAAGGACCAACAGGGATCATAGCTCCCTCGTTACAGAAGGGTATTAAACTGTCCATTTCTTATATTATATTCAATCACAGACTAACTTATCAAACGTAATATTCAGAAAGTAAAAATGTAGAATGTAATGTCTGCAAAAGTTATACCAATCATGATCCCACTGGAGGTCATTATTTTGAACACTGATGGTTTCAAGTGTTACTTTTGTTTTATACAAGGAGACATTCTTTACCAAGTAGGATGAGCCACATCTTTCATTATATTTAAGTTTTACTGATCAGCATTAATATAGCATAAACTAAAAAAAAAAAAGTTACCTGCGCTCTCTCCTTAATCCCTATGTATATTTAAACAAATGGAAGAGAAGCAAGGTAAAGGGTCAGAGTAGGACCAGTCTAAGGGGGGTCTGCCTTGACGTTGGCAGGCAGGCAGGCATTCCCTCCAGTGGCCATTGGAGTAACTAAATGACCTTTTTTTTTTAAATATACATAGGGATTAAGGAGAGAGCGCAGGTAACTTTTTTTTTCTTTGGTATGTATTGGAGCTGATGTGTACTGTGATCGTTGCAGCCGCCCAGGAGTGATGGGAGTGAGCGCAGGACTTATGCTATATTGATACAAAAAGATACCTGAGCCAGTCAGTGTGAACAAATTTTACACCTTCTGTTACATTATAAAAGATACTGTGAGTGTCCATATTGCAGTTTAATTTCGCATTATTGGCCTTAACGTAAACATAAGTTTTTACCAAGAATTTACTGTATCAAAATATGACTGGTGGGCCTCACCTGCCTTTCAAATGTTATTAGCCCCATAACCCTCTCTGATGCTGCCAAGCTGGACCTGTTCCCAGAGTATCAATGTCATCATAGGGTGACTGCATTACTAAATTCCATATGCAGGAGTACCATGCGTAAGAGGGTCCTCCTGCTCTCCCACTAAATAGATGTGTATGCCAATAATTGGCTGAGGGGTGGGTTAACTTTTAAACTTAATGTATACACTTTATCTATACATTGTAGAAGCAGACATGTTTTATGCTGCTTAATGTAATCAGAAATTTCATGCTCCACAACAGGTACACTTTAAAGCATGAGTTGTCAACCTGTTCCCTATTGCCCACTAGTGGGCGGTTTGGGATTTCAGGTGGGCGGTGGTGGGTTCTGCAGAAAATGCTCGGGGGGCCCTCAATGGCCGTGGACCAAGGCTGGCATGGGAGATCCTTTCATCCCCCCTTGCCGGCCCATGCAGAGCCATCCTTGCTGTCAAAGATCTCCCTCACCAGCCCGCTGGCACTTAGTTCCAGCAGAGGGAGGGAAGGGCCTGGGAGACTCTGTGTTCCTCCTGCAAGCAGGCTAGTCAGAACATTGCAACATGTTATCATGGCAACTCTCTGATACAGTGCTGTGCTCGCAGGAGGACAGGAGAGTTAGCTAACAGCCAAAGGAACTGCAGGCTAAAGTGAACATCCAACCACTGGACAACCAGGGCATGCAGCATTATGTACCCCCTTCCTGGTAAAAGGTAAGAAGGCGGCAGGAGGAGATATTAAGATAGATTTTCACATCTCACCTACACACAGCATAGACCCTATGCACCCTTCACACACACACACATGGAAAAAAAGTAGAAAAGAAAAAAGGAAAAAGATACATTTAAGTACATTTTTATTTTTGGTTAAAAACCTCCTTTCTAGAAAGAAAAAAAAAAACACAAAATTAGTTACTGTGGCACTGGTGGGCGGTAAGGACATTTTACCATCAACAAAGATACAAAAGGGGGCGGTAGGCATTGAAAGGTTGACTACCCCTACTTTAAGGGGACCCTATAGTTACTAGAACTACAGCTAAATTTTGTGGTTCTGGTAGCTATAGCCTGTCCCTTCTTGCATTTCAATGTAAATACTATTTTCAGAGATAAGGCAGTGTTTACATTGTTGCCTAATTACATTTCTAGTGGCAGTCACTCAGACGGCAACTAGAGGTGCTTCCTGGGTCAGTGCAGCACCTTGACACTGCATTGAGGACGGCCACTAGAGGGGTTTCCTGAGGCAGTGCTGCAGTGTGCAGCATTGTTTCCACTGAGCACTCCCCAATGAGATGGATTAATTCAATGCATCTCTAGGAGGAGATGCTGATTGGTGTTGCATAGCCTTTTGCAGTGCATGCGCAATAGCCTCAATTCTTTCCTACACACAAGCATTGGATAGGCTGAGATAGTCAAGATTGATGGTTACAGCCATGGAATTGGGCTATCTGAGAAGGTGAAAAGGGAGAGTTAAAGCACCTTTCATGCAATCTGAGGGTGTCAGGGAACCTAAAGAGCCACTCCAGGACATTTCTTTAAATATGCCAGTAGGATATCAGCCATCTTTAAATACATGTCTGGTTTAATAGAGCACCAAGGTAATGTTCGATGCTGTGTGTCGGCCTGTTCTGTGATTAGTTTATACCTGTGGTGTATGCAGAATATTTAGGTATTCCGAGTTAGTGTTTAATCTATCAGGGCTATTCACAGTGCAGTTCAAAATAGCAAAAATTCTCCCAGTCAGCTACGCTTTCAGGATGGCTTCTTTAGCCTTCAATTAACTTTTAATTACATGCAATTCTCACTTTAGTCAATAACCCTGTAAGTAATTTTTCCAGGACTAACGAGGGTAAGTAAATTTGGACCAAGTGAATAGTACTATGAAAGATTAATGGATTTCATAATCTCATTACAGCAAAAGGTAGCTCCACAGATGTTAAACTCCTGCCATGATGCTTTGCATGCCTTTAGAATGACAAAGTAGCATGGAAGCTGTAGTTCTACAACATCTGGGGATCTACCATTTAGGTACCTCTGTATTACAGTAACAGTGGAGTAGAACATTTTCTACCAGCCACAGGCTCCTACAATTCTCGTAGTGGGGTCAGGATCCTTTTCCAGGTTTTCAAAGCTCTTAAGATAATGTCTGTATATGAAGTGTTTAAGGATTTTTATTTTCTTTGCTCTCCTGCCACGGCATTTCCGTTAAGGGTATGCCACTGAATTTAGAAATAATTTTCCCTATGATACATGGATTATAAATTATATAAAGAAGACAGTGACCCCTTTTCTGTTCTGAGATTCAGTTTTCGGAGGCACACACTAGACCTTTCACAATAACCACTATAGCACATGGCTGTTATTAAAGTACGGGGTCCTCCATTAATCATATTAACTATTGTATTTTCCCCAACTATCTCCTGTACCACTAAAAGGCATAACATGTATCACATGAAGTATAGTATACAAGTGTTTGAAGTGCCAAAGGTTAGAAACCTATATCCTAAACCCTTTATATATCCCAAGTGTCTCATGAAAAATCTGAGAAAACACAAACTGCCTTCTCTCACAAGGATGAGTTTATTAAATTAGTTGTCTTAAAAAACAAACATTGCAGTCTCATTGTTAATATAACAATTCTCCCATTGAAGGACCTGCTTGCAAAGCGTCATCCGATAACTGAACAGAATTTAAGTTTAAGAGATGTCAGGTCCTGCACCTTGCAGCAAGAGTCAGAGAAGCAACTATCCAATTCTGAAACCACACGGGCACTCCAATACTAAATAAATATCAAGCTTTTTTTTTTTTAACAGAAACCCCCCTGTAGCCATAGAGTTTTGCAACATTGCTTGTGACACGCGATTTCATATCACCAACTACAGTCTGTGAGAACCAACAGATGACCCCACACCATGGTGAGGTTTCAGTGGTACCAGCTGCCTTTCTCCTGCAGGTTCATGGTTGCACAGTTGAAGTCATCGGGTTATTTGAAGTCTTGTTCATTTTTAATATATGAAAAGCAGTGGAGTTGCGTCCAGCAGGTCAAGTCAAGAGCTTTTATCAGCAAAGGCTTAAAAGCCACAATA